GGCAACAGGCAAGGTCTCTAGCTACATGTAACTGGAGGATAATAATGAAATGGAATATAGTGTGCAAGTAATAGGCTGGAACAAAACTAAATGGAGAAAAATAAAACAAAACTAAATGAAATTCAAACAAAAATAAACACAAAATGAACAAAAAATATATGCAGATGAAAAACAAACTTTGTAGAACAAAAAGTGTTAACATATGTACACATACTGCGTTTTTTGGAGTCTGAAACAGTTGTAGTAGGAATACCACATATAGATGCTCGGGATGCAATAGTTTATTGTTGAAGTACTGTAAAATTTCACAGGTTTTAAACCCAAACAAACAGTTTTGAATTGTGAATTTTATGGTCCCCACCCCCCTGGGGCCTGAGGGGTGGGGCCAAAACCACTAAAATTATTGCAATCTTTAAAAATCTTCTTCTTTACTCCTGGACATCAAGCAGGCAAACTGTTGGCATGAATGTAATAGCATTAAATTCTCTACCAAAATTGTGAAATAATTCATGGCCCCATGGTCAGGGGTTCTTGTGCTAGGGCGGGGCTATATAGATCATATATTAAAAATGCATTATTTCTTTGAAAATCTTCTTCTCTGCTCTTGGGTATTAAGTAAATTAACTAAGCGCATAGTTATAATGAGCAAGAGTGCCACTTCCAAAATTGTAAATTTTATGGCCCCAGGTTCAGGGTCAGGGGTTCTGGTGTTAGTGCGGGGCTCTATTGATCATACAGTGAAAATGCATTAATTCTTTGAAAATCTTCTTCTCTGCTTCTGGGTATTAAATAAACTAAGTACATAGTTATGATGAGCAAGAGTGCCACTTCCAAAATTGTGAATTTTATGACCCCAGGGTCAGGGGTTCTGATATTAGGGCGGGGCTGTATTGATTATATAGTGAAAATGCATTAATTCTTTGAAAATCTTTTCCTTTGCTCCTGGGTTTTATGCCAATGATCCAAGTATACATAATATATATATGTATATATATTATGATGAAGAAAGGTGCATCTAGCAAAATAGTTATTTATGCCCCCTGGGTCAGGGGCCGGGGGGGGGGGGGGTACATAGTCTGAAAATAAATTAATGCTTTGAAATCTGCTTTTTAGTATTAATCAATCATTTTATGATAAAATTAGCAAAATTTTGAAATATGTGGCTCCAGGGTCAGTGGTTACTTTGGGGTGAGGTGCACAACTGGTTATAAAGTGGAAGTGCATTTTCTCTTTGTTACTCTGATCTACCTCTGGGTATTAAGTAAATAGAGTAAGCATGCTAAGTTTATAATTATGATAAGCAATGGTGCCTCTTTCAAAATTGTGAATTGTGAATTTCATGGCCTCTGGGGTAGAACACGAACCAATTTTAATTGTTTGAAAGTTGTTACACGATACTCAGGTGACCTATAAGGCCCGTGGGCCTATTGTTTTGATTATCTCCCCTATGGAGGGGTTTTGGTCCCTCGTTTTAACAATTTAGAATCCTCGTCACCCAAAGATGCTTTGTAACAAGTTTGGTAAAAATTGGCTCAGTGGTTCTTGAGAAGGTGAAAATTTTAAAATTTTACAGTCAGACGGTCGGATGACGGACGTTGGTGATCAGAAAAACTCACTTGAGCTTTCAGCTCAAGTGCAAATTGTTTACAGATGGACAAAAAAAAACACCTTAATATCGCATAAACTCTTCTGGTTTTCGACCAGCAGAGCTTAAAATTGATGCACACTGCATAAATGACCATAGCAATAGCCCCGTTAGCCTTCAGCTAGGCAGAGCTCAAAACACTAGTGTCAAAAAATTACTTGAGCAAGTAAAACATAGGTAATCAGAGATTACAGAGCTTATCTCAATGAATATTGTCTTTAAGGAAGGCAATGTCACACAATTAACCAACATCCTAAAAGTGTACATCCAAAAATGCAAAATTTATGCAATTTTGATCTGATAGGACTTGCAGTTACTTTGGAATATAGACCTATCCAAAAACTTCAAACAAGCCGCCCATCAAGAAAATGTAATTCAAATCCAGCATCTGAAGCAAGTTTGAGAGCTTCCATCCTTTGATGCATCATTTGTGCAAGTTTGGTTAATATAGGCCTTATAGTATCTTGTTTATAGACCTGCACCCATAAAATTTACCTTGTCCATTATCTAGAAAATGTATGTCAAATTCAGGCACTTCTTTCGTATACAGGGCACCCCTACTTATTTTTACCACAAGGTACCTAACTCATTTTCAGGCACCCCCACTTCAAGCTTGTAGTTACTTGGAAATGAAACCTGCACCAAAAACATTAACCTGTTCATTCTTCCGGAAAATGTAGGTAAAATTCAGCGTCTGAAGCAAACTTGGTTGTATGCATCCTTAGATGCATCATCCATGCAGGTTTGGTCATAGTTATTTGGAAATGAGACCAGCATCAAAAACTTGAACCTGTTCACTCATCTGGATAATGCAGGTCAGATTCAGCATCCGAAGCAAGCCTAGTAGTTTGCTTCCTTATATGTATCATCCATGCACGTTTGATGGAACGACAGTTACTTGGAAATGAGACCTATACAAATATTTGCACGAACAAGATGTGTTTGTGAAACAATGATGCTCCCGTATGGCAGCTTATGGCAGCGAAAGGTCAAGGTAAAAAGGTCAAAGGTGTTTGTACCCAAAGGAAGGTCTTGTTACAAGGAATACACCTGTGAAATATGAAAGCCCTATTTCTAACTGTTCAAAAGTTATAACCACGGTTCAAGTTTTTAAAAAGTGGGTCAAACTCTTAGGTCAAGGTCAAAATATTTATACCAGCTGAAAGGTCTTGTCACAATGAATACACATGTGAAGGATGAAAGCCCTAACTCCAACTGTTCAAAAGTTATGGTGGGGGTATTTTTTTTTGTAAAAGTACGCCACAAACTTCACGGTCAACGTCAAATTTGGTGGTACCCGTGGAAAGGTCTTGACACAAGGAATACACCGTGAAATATGAAAGCCATAACCCCACCTACGTAAAAGTTACCGGCAAGGTTAAAGTTGACAAAAGACAGAAAGATAAACAGACAGACAAACAGGACAAAAACAAGATACCCCAGGGATCTTTCGATCCAGGGGCATAAAATGTTAACCTGCTCCAAAAACATTAACCTGGTCATTCCTTTGCTGAAATTGCAGCATCTGAAACCTTGATTGGTACAATGAAACACACTAGAAGCATCTTCCATGCATGTCTAATCTGTGTAGGGCATAGAAGTACTTACAAAGAAAACTGCTCCAAAAACACTTCTTCTCATATTTCTAATATTTAAAAATTAATGAAATTTTCACAGAATCAAGAAGACAATACCAGTAAGTGATAGTATCAGTGAAATTAAATTTGACCGTTTTATATTAGAGGCAAGGTCAGGTCAAGGTCACTATCTTTTTCCCTGACATTAAGAATAAAAAAATAACTGTTGCCAATTAATCATGTGATACCTACTTAAATTCTATTTCAAAAGTTTAATGATTGTTCTTTCTGCATAAAAACATATTTACTATATCGGGTCTAAAGCATGATATTACCAAATTTACACAAATAATTTAACTGAACTGGATATTGGCTAATCCGAATTTTCTCTGTTTTTCTTAATTTTTTAGGACATATTAGTTATTTTCATATGCTTCCTATATTTAACTTTTTCTTATTTTCACATATAATAAAGTAGTCTTATAAATGTACAAAATGATACAAAAACAAAAAGTTTTGATCGTTTACTAAAAGAGAAAAAATACTTTTTATGGATTTTTGGCTCAAATCTGCACTTTGATAGTAAGCGTTTAAAAGCTAATAAAGTTCTAGTTTATTTGAAAAATCATATTCATTGAGATATTTTGAAAGTTTAGTCCCTCATTATTAATCTAACTTACATTTGAAAATTTCTCCAAGACGTCGATTGTGTAAAAATTATAACTAAATTCATTGTTCTATTACAATTTTGAGAGGCAGAAAAGAAGATATTTTCATACGCCACCATTCCGCCAAAAATATAGTCCCTGCTAATTTTCAAACGCAGTTTACCATTTCTATTCAAAGTTGTACAATTGTGATGAGGATAGAAAAATATGATCTTTCAAAATTCCTTACACCTCAATATACAAGACATATAAGCAAATATAATTTGAGTGTTTCATCTAGTCAGAAACCAGAGAAGAATCCTACCTTAAGGTCAAGATCTAGTAAATGAAAGGTGCCTACAGATTTATCAAATTTGAGAAATAAATTCCTTTATTGATGCTTTACAACTTTAACTTGGTCAAATAAGGTGTTTCGGGGCATAATTTGTAGGTAAACAAGATGAAAAACTGTATTTTAAACTGTCTTTTCAATGAAAAATTAAGAAAACCAGTCATGCATAGAGGAGTTTTTTTTCATATTCAACAAAGGAAATGTATCCAGATTGCCTACAGTCTCACAGAAAACGGTAATTAGTATGTCCATGGCCTCTTCTTTAAACCAATATCAAATTTTTAGGTTTGATTTCAAATTGAATGTCATAAAAATACCCTATTTTCTACATAATTCTGCTAACGCGGTAAAGTACAAAAAGAAAGTTGAAATTGATTATGACGTCATAATGGATCTAGCACCAAAAAATTAGTCTAAAGTTATTTACTAGATCTTGACCTTAACCTGGGACGCCGACACTGATCTGAGGGTATGACATAAGCTCCCCCAACTTTGTTGAGGTGAGCTAAAAATTCTTTTATCATGAAATTGTTCAAAATTTTCATTTTCTTTTATTTCCATTCTATACAATTTTTGTTCACTTCATATATCTTGATAAATAAAATTTAGAAGTGTGTTTATGTTCATTTTAATTTATATTTACATTTAGTATTTCTGTAAAACATTTGTGATTATACACCAGTAATAGTGTGTTTCTGTCTGTAGCAAGTGGCTTTTACATCCCTTCGTTCCTCATTTTCCCCACCACTTTACATTTCTTAAAAGAAGCAAAAAACATCTAAATTTCATATTTTATTTTCTGACAGCTTTGTATCTTTACAAATTAACATTTTGTGAGTCTTGTGCATTGATAAATTTGTATGGAATTTGTTTCCATGCCGTCTATATAAGCAATGAAAATGATGACATGTCTTCCATGTAGTCCATCCCACCCATCCCTGTTCCCAGTAAACAACAAACAGATCATGCAAACTTCCATAGAAGAAATTACAAAAAACAAGTCACAAACCTAACCACTGAGACAACTAGTTCATTTACGATTTAAACATGCAAAATACGCTTTACTGAATTTTTTAAATTATAAATTATATAAATATTACCAAAATTTTGACTTGCACAAACTTATATATTTCTATATAGACAGTTACAAGGTTTTCTGTTCTAAAAGCTAAGTAACATGGAAAAAGATGAAAGAAAATAGCTACTTCTTGAAAAAAATCTCACTGCCTTTACCTAATATTAAATTACATTATAGTGTATCACAGATACTGTTTGTAACATGTATGTCCTTTCTAAGGGATGTACAAATCAATGTTGAGAAATATACATGTGTAGTTTGATCAATTTTATTCAGTGTGGAATCATTTAGATGGACTGCAACTACACCAAAATATCTTGCGCAAAAAAAAATGACAACAAAATCAAACCCCTAGCATTGCACAAAGTTCTAGTCAGCAAAACTGCAGGAAGTATAAATGGAAAATTAATTTTCACTGTAAGCTAGCAGAGCTGAATCTTGGCATAACATATAAATATAAGTGTTAATTTCTTTTATACAATTAATTCTCAAATTAAAACAATAGAAATGTTGACAATGATAACTGTACAACATCAGGTAGATATTTTTCCACATCTTTGGGTCACAGAAATGCACCAGTGTGCTATTATACACATCATAATACTACTATACAGTCACATTTGAATTTTAAAAACATTATAAGAAGTAGTCAGGGGTACGTCTTGTTACATGGGGCTCGCCTCTTCTTGGTGCTGGATCGAACTGCAAACTGTAAAACATAAACAAGCAACTTTAAAGTAACAATAGGCAGAATTTAGAGCAAGCATTCAATTTCGGCATTATTAGTGAGGGTTCTAAGATCACTGAATTCACTGCTAACAGGTTGTAAAAGCTATTTCTAACTTAAATTAATAATCACTGGAAAAAAGGAAACTTTTTTGGGGGGAGGGGGAATAGCTAAATAGGCCTCTTGTTAAGTAAATTTTTCACTTACAGAGTTTTAACTATCCGGTATAAATAGAATGGATTACTATTACTCAAAAATTAAAAATAAGGTAGGCTTCTGAAATCTGAGCATTGGTTATTTAATCTGAGCATAGCAAATGTCAAAGGAAGATGACACGTCTCTGCAATTTAATTTTTTTTAAACTTTCATTTTTTTTTATTATGAGTTTGGGAAAACATTGTATCCAGAAGGGGTCAAGGATAACGCTTTCTCACTGTCCATGGCATGTGGAAAGTTATCTTTGGCAAACAGAGTTATACAGATATTTGAAATCAGGTGTTGTAATAACCGGGCAGGTTAAAAAAAACAAAAGTGGATGCCTGTGGAAGTAAAAAAAAAATATCTCTGTTTCAAGTTATTGCAATCTCAGTTTATCAGAAAAGAAGTCATTTTCTCAATATAAATCTGGCATCTCCCCACCTCCTTTATAATTTTCAATTTAATAAAAGCTAAAATGAAAGGTAACCTAAAATGCACCCCTAAAAATGTGGACCCATTAAAAAAAAAACATTCATAAATTTTCCAACCTTAGGAATGCATTGTAAGATTTTCTCTTGGGAGACGCACTCAAAACACATTTCTTGTGAAATTTCTGGATCTTAGCATGACTACTTTCCAAAGAAATTCAAGCAATTTGATGTGTCTGATAAAAACGTTAAATAGGAAATCCATATTCGACATACTGACACTAAGCAACAAAGACTGTAAAAATCTCATTTAATTTATTGCATGGTATATGACCTAGACGGAAGGATTTATGGCTGGATACTCCTTAATGGCCCCTTTCCCCCTCCACTTTCTTGACCAATGGGTATAATGAAGGACCAAAATTGACCATTAATATATTTTGTCTTTCAAGAGAATTTTAAACACATTTTTTTCCTAACTTAACTTACAATGAATATTTAAGGGCATCATCTAATTCCATTATAGCAGCTTGATTTCCACATCTGTAGCAGTAGTTTGGCGCACTGAATATGGTCACTACATTTCTGTCATGGCACCAATTGTAACCCTACAAGACAAAGATTTTTGCTAAAAGTTCTATAAAACTGAATAACACATTTTGAGGGTTTTATTTTAACACAATTGGAATCTGACTGACATTTCATCAATAATTTGCTTGTGAACAGAATAATGTGAAGTAAAGAAATATACACTCACTTCCATGACCAGTTGATGGGCCCTTGAAACTAGAGTGAGAGCATTGCTATGATTGAATGTTTCTGATATATCCTGACCGAATGTGTAGCCAGCACCTCTAGGAGAGATTCCCCAGCCACCTCGATCATCAGGGTCAGACCACAGCAGATCACACATAGGACCCTGAAATTCATATAAACACCTAGTGATTCATTCTGAAAATTAATATCTGGGTCAAGAGACCCTTCTGAATGATGACAATACATTCCATCCCAAAATCAATGCATACAGATATAATCTAGGGAATCCATATACCAGAGGAAATTAAGATGGGCTATAAATTAGCATAACACAAAGGTGCAAAAAATAGATATTAAATGGTTATACATGCAATTGTGCTTTAAGCCTTAGCCGATCAAAACTTAGGAAATGCCTGTAATGTATTAAAGACAAAAAATAGGTAACTTTTCATGCTTTAAGGAAAAATTTAAATGACAATACTTGACTTATTTTTTAACATTGTTTAATATATTAGTTATAATAATACCAACAACACGTCACTTAAATTTTGACTGTACACAAACCGAGTCGACCCGACCTACAAAATTCAAACCAACTCGCATACACAAACGAACTCGTATACAAAAAGTCAACTCGTACACAAAACCCAGAAGTCAACTCGTACACAACATTTATATACAATCGTTATGATTTAATTTTATACAAATAATGTTTGATAACATGAAGTGTTACTGTTCTTTAAGTTTTTTCCCTAAATATTTAAATAATTCAACTTCCCTGATAGGAACATCAAAGACATCAAAGAAGTATTGTTAAACCAACACACGCGCGGTGGTTTCTTGGATCTGCGACAAACGCTAATTATGAGATGCTCATAATTCGGTATAAGTTTCTTCAATCCTTATACTTCTCCATGGTTCGAGAGAGTTGTCTTTTCTGCAGCAAGACGGTAAGTTTCTAAAACTTTTTTTATTTAAATAAGTTTAGATAAGTTTAAGAAAAATATGTTATACAGTATACCATTAAATTCTCACCATGTATTTAGATCGCATTTAGATCAAGACTATATATCTATTTAACATAATAAATTAGGATGCTATAAAATATTATATTCTACATCAACATGCATTACTTGCATAACAGAAAACTTTTTAGAAATATAACATCTGCGTATAACAATTTTGTTGACAATTAGAAATCCATTTGAATTAAGTTTTTCAACTACATATTTAACAAATAAAATATTTAAATTTACAATTTAAGAATTATTTAAGATAATTACATTTATTTAAGAATTAAAGAAATCAGAGGCATAAACTAGTTAAAAATGTACAGCAAACACATTTGTGTACGAGTTGACTTCTCAATTTTTTGGAAACTGTGGCAAATATTACCTTAAATCACATAGGAAAACCTATGTATGAGTTGTGTACGAGTTGACTTCTGGTTTGTGTACGTGTTGACTTTTTTAGTGTACAAGTTGACTTTTTGTATACGAGTTGGTTTGTGTATGACTCGGTTTGTGTACGAAGTGACTGTAAATCTTTCTTCAACATTAACATCTCCACATAAGACATGATTAATCTATGCTAATGGAAGTTTGCAAACCTTTTTTTTTTTAATTGATTGCAAACTTCAAATATGGTAAGGTGTGAAACCTGGTCTTTTTTTAAGCCAGGTGTACCTGTATATGTTCCAGAATTTACCAGTGCATCCTGAGTAATAGACAAAGAATAAACATAACTGAACAAGTACTAAAAGCCCCTCTCTTAAGTGTACACTCATATTTTGACCTACATTTCATCTTATGCTTAACATGAATCATATACTGACTGTGCTGATAACCTACATTCTGTTGTAAATAAACCTCGATATAAAATCACTGTTCTAATAATAAAGATGACAAGTACATTGTTTGTATTGTACCGACCAAGGTGTTAGATATTCATGACTCATCATTAGCTTACCTGAGTCTTCTAAATATACCAAAAATAATAATGCTTTAATCATTTCATTAAACAATCTTTTTTCAAAAAAAAAAATTAACCAATAAAGAGTACTCTACAGGACCAATGACATTCCATTTCCTGCACCCCCTTCCCCTCAATCATCAAAAAAAGTCAAAATGGAAAATTATTTCAACATACGTGTAGCATGTATAAGAAAAACTTGCACTGCATGTCTTCGAAAACTTTATTCAATTACAAATGACAGTGGTTCGATTCATGTAGGTAAATATATAAATGACTCATCAAAATTATATTTGCATCTGATATAATTTTTTCCCTTCCTTTCCACTCAGACAAAATTTAAGAAATTCTTTAGTTTAATGTTTGACAAGCATGAAGTTCTAATTTAAATGTATAATAATTTTAAAAGAATACAAAGTTATTTCAAGCTAAACACAGTCTTCGAAATTAAGCGGTAGCCCGATGACAGAGGCTAGTAAAATCGGGATCGGGCTACCAAAAATTATTTACATGCATGCCTGATGGGCTAGTTAGTAAATTTCCGGTGGGGAATTTTAAGTATGATTCCTTTTATAAAATATCAAGAAGGGGCTATCCCAGGTCAGTGATTCACGAATAGGAGGGCACTTACAGAAGAAATAAAAGTTGCTTCACAAAATGAAGTACGTAGAATCAAAGCGTCAGCGAAATTGGCTGGAAATCTGACCATGGACTGAATACATCGGTACTACGAATCACTGAAAGGCCCCTAGGAATCACCGAAATACCCCTTATTTTCTTATAAATAAATAAAAGAGTAATAAATATATGATATCAACTGTTCTAAAATCTAGATACATAGTTAATTTTTCATAATCTTACTGTAAGTATTTTTTATTTAAAGATGTGTGCACGTCACACTGTTGACTGATACAGCAAAGTGTTTAAAACAATTCCTCAAAGTGGTTTTGAACGTTTAATGATCAAATTGAATTAAATCAGAAATGCAAATGTGACTGCACTTATTAAAACGTCATTTGTTCATTTGGGCTAGTAAAATTTCATTTGGGCTACCAATTTTTATACTTTCACTTGCCCGTACCAAAGCACTATGACCATCTCTTTGCGAGATGCCCGTCTGAAGCGGACAAATCGGCTAGTCAAAAGGAGTCAAAAAAGTTAAGCACGAAGACTGTAAACAAAGAAATTATTTAAGTATCTCTTTCCAATACAATTACATAATAGACTAAAGAACTCTATTTGTTGTGCAAACTGCTGAAAAGCCTATCGAGTATTAATTCTATAGCATAACTGCAAATTTAAACATTTGGTAAATGTTTAACGTTAATCTCCATGAAATGTTTGCAGTTCATCTTTAAACTTGGAGGGGAAAAATAAGCAATTGCATTTTCTCAACACTTACCATATTCAAAAGTTTGTTTAACATTGTTAAAGAGTCAAAACTGTTTAAAATAAATGTTCTGCATAAATTAACTTGGCATGCATTAAGCACACCAGGAAATAATCTCCAACGACTGATCAAAAGCTTGCAATATTCTGAGAGTATTTTATTATGCATAAAAAAAGTAAAATGTATCTGATCCATACAATGTAAGGCAAATATTGTATGACAATCAATATACTAATATATGAATTCATATCATGATACCTTTACCAAGTTGTTAATAGTTTGCAACGTGCATTGACTTTTTACCTATCATTTACTACAAACTTGGGAATGGGGTGGGTTCCTATTTGCTAGAACTACTTACCTCATGAGGAACTTCTTGTATTCTGTCCAATGCTCTAATATGATCTAGTGTGTCTATAGATGGGGATAAACCACCGTGTAAACAAAATATCTGAAAACAGAGATATCAGCATGATCAATACTTGACAATGCACAGTCTCACTTTTGCTACAATATTCCAAACAATAAAAAGTTACAGAACCAAACAGAAAAGGGAAGACTCACCTGGCCATCAACAAGAGCTGTAAGGGGTAAGTAGTCAAATAGATCTGTGAAATATTTCCATACATTTGCATTGCCATATTTTCTCAAGCATTCATCATAAAAACCATAGACTTGTGTGATTTGACGACTTTCATGGTTTCCTCTTAGGATTGTTATTCTATCTTTAAACCTAACCTGTAGAGGGAAAGACACGGAATATGTGTAACAAAAAATAAAAAAACGCTTGAGCAGCAAATTACAAAGGCATATTAGTTATGATGGCATTACTGAAGTGAAAGTCAGTCATGTAAAGTTCATCGATACAAATATATACTTACTTTTAAAGCAACTAAAAGTGAAACAGTTTCTACTGAATAATATCCTCTATCCACATAATCTCCCATAAACAGGTAATTTGTGTCAGGAGACTTCCCTCCAATTTTGAACAATTCCATCAAATCGTGAAACTGTCCGTGAACATCTCCACAAACTGTGACGGGACATTTTACCTCTTGGACATTGGACTCCTTTGAAAGTATTTCTTTTGCCTAAAACAGGAAGTTGAAATAAGAAAAATTTAATAGTTATAGTAAGACAGGTGTGTGCAAAGTACTTGAAGTAGCAGAGAAGAATCATGCTCCTGTATCAGTGTATTGAACTTTGCTAACAGTGACTCACCGTTACCATGTTTAAATATTTTTTTCTCAGTTCCCTCAGTATTTGTATTGTTTTTCACCAATTCAGCTATTTTTTTAACCTTACATTCTATAATTTCTATCTCACTGATTTCTAAATTTCTAACAGCAAGCAAACAATCTTTAAGGTAAAATTATTGTCGAATAACACGTTTTAAAGCCCCGTGCACTATAGGTAATACTAAGTTTAACATTTGGTTCTCAGCATGAACTGCACTCACACAGGGCCATGTGCAGGAAATGGTTGCCATGTAAAATGAAAGGAGTTCGTTGTCATTTTTTCTGGCAATATTAAGATTAAAAAGATATCAAAACATTTCTACATGTAGTAAATATTGTAACATATAAGGTAACCTAAAATCTATGTACGTTGGCGTGCTAAAATTCACCTTTTCACATAATGTTTTAACTTGATTTTCCGAGAGTTGTTTGCAGTCGTTCAATTGTTCAATCCACAGATCAAGTTCCTTTGCTGCCGCTCTATCCTCAATAAGACTCATTCCGACAGTCTACACTCAATATGAATTCAACTACAATGAAAATGAATTGTACTTCATAGAATGTAAGCTAGACTGTGCGAAGTGGAGTGCCGTCTTAAAACATTGTCAAACAAAATGGCCGACAAGTTAAAATGTGACTGACGTCATACGCCGCACGATGTGCATTAACATGTTTTAAATGAATACCCAATCCTCGAGAATATGTTTTTCATTAATTTGATAATCTAACATTTCACGATAGTCTTGTCAATTCTGAACGTTTATACTTTGCAAAAGAGTGTTTTAACCTACCTTTACGGGTATATTTACTTTTAAAAAGCGCCACCTATTGAGTTTCAAGATATAAATGAATGCGGTAAGGATACCGATCCCGATTTCATTATTATTTTTTGACAATTTGTATCAGTTTCTTACCATTGTTTTTAAAATATGAAAGTGAGCATAAGTTACCCATGCTAAACATAACTTTTATATCGATATTGATCTAAACTACATGTAAGCCTAAGTTATGATGAATAACTTTACCTCGGAGTACTTTATCTAAATATAAATATTACTTAAAATTATGCATCTACGCTGTTTAATTGTCTAGCTGTAATAGATGAATTTTTTAAGTTTTTGGTAAGAGTACAGAAAATATGACATCGTAGTACTTGTAACCAGACGGATATTTTTCAGTTTAGAATAACATTTTTAGGGGGAATTCTATGATCCAATTTTATAAAAACTTCTTTAAAGCACATAAAACCACGGTAGAATATAATGGCATATAAACTAAACAGATAAAAGTATAATAAATAAATAATCTGGGAGAATTTTGGATGAACCAGCAAGTAATAAACTCTACTCATTTCATGCATATATATATAAAAACAGAATCCTAGATATACACCCCAAGAGTGCAATGCATTTATGGATAATTCGTCAAAATGTTTTTTATATAAGCACATTGTCCAATCTGATTTCTGTAAAATGCAACCCTATTTAACGAAACCTTTTCAAAGTAATTTAAAAAAGCATATTTCCCGCATCAGGCTTTCGTCGCACTATCTAAATATACAATGTAGAATGCGGAAGGTACCAAGGCAAGAGCAGAAATGCTAGAATATGCGACATTTGTGATAATCATCTAATAGAAGATGAAATATATTTCATTCTCCAATGTCCTAGATATCTAAAAGTAAGAAAAAATACTAGTATATAAATGAATATTATGTAACGTTTTTCTCTATGGGGTGTTTGTTTTTTACCCGCGTCACAAAATATTGTGGATCCCGTGTAGAAGATAGGAACTTTAGATCTTTATAGATCTAACATCAGAACAACGACAAAGTTTGTTTCAACAAGTGTATTAATAATATCCAAAGGTAGTTTACAATCCAGTACAAGCAATGTATATCAACTCACTAACTCTCTCTCCTTATATACCTTGTCTGACACCTAACGTGATTTAGGGCACCTTGTTAGAGCGTTAGGCTCCATCGTTAGGGCACCTGTTAGGGCGTTAGGCTCCCTCATTAGGGCACCCTGTAAGGGCGTTAGGCTCCATCGTTAGGGCACCTATTAGGGCAATCGGCTCCAAGTATTAGGGCCTCTGCACCATTGTTAGGTGTCAAGACACTTAATACATTTATAGCATCTGATAAGCGCCATAATTAGGACACTAATTAAGGGCGCTAATCAGGTACCATGGTTGGGGCTTATCAAATGAACAAAATTCTTATCTCTGTTTTACTTATAACAGTAACATATTTTCATATAAAACAAAAACATTGCATTGGTCCCTCCTTTTGAAACATGACTTCCACTGTCATCAATATTTAAAACATGAACATTAATTATACGTAAAATCAAATTACACAAAAGCCAAACAAAATCAACAGAAAGACAAAAAGTAAAACAATAAAATTTTATCAAATAAAAATGTCACTAGATTAAATCAAAAGTCCATGTAGTTTACACTGGTATTGGTCTTAAGATTTCTCCGGCCCTATTTTTAGCACTTTCTCTTCCAACTTTTTCTTTTCCTGCTTTGGGTTTTTCATCCCTTGGTTTTAGGCCATGAACCGACTGACACCTGGCCTCCGGCATCAGTCATCTTTAGTTTAAATAATTCCTTACAGTTCTCTTTTCAACACAATTTTGGTCTCGAGAACTGTCGCTTGTTTGAAATCCTCCTCCTTCTCTCTGGTTCCACGGGTTGTAAGGGCGTCCCCTCCTCCCTGGTCCTGTACTGGTACATGCACTTGGGGTTCTCATATTATTATAGATACTGTTGCATCCGTCACCCGCGCTTGGAGGTTTGGCAGTATCCGCAGCTGCTATTTCATTATTCCATTCCCCATCTTCAATCTCATACACAGGCTTATAGCCTGGTTTTGTCTCCTTTGGCAATTCTTTTTCCCCAATCCGCAAGCACTCTTCTTGCATTGCATTAAGATCTGCTTCTTGAAGTGTCCTAGGTCTGGTCCGTTTCACTGCGAGTCGAAAATCCTCAGATTGTCCACACTTATCTAAGAAGGACTGTATAGCATTTTCTTCAACTAAATCTGGATTTCCTGGATAGGCCCTTCGGTACAAATCTTCGATGGCCTGTCCTAAATCTCGCAGGGACTCGCCCGGTAGTCTTCTTCTCAATTTGGCGTCTGCAATATACCTTTCTTTCATTGCAGAATGCCCGAATCTTTGGTTCATCTTATCCTTAAGTTGCTCATAGTCTTTCTGTACAGTAAGGGGCATTCCATATGCATAGCTCTCGGCTTGTCTTCGCAAGGTGCTAAGCAAAACTCTGCGAGATTTCTCGGGTCCCCATGAGTTTAATTCTGAGATGTTTTCAAAATAGTGTAAAAACTCATCCCAAACATCATCATTGGCCCCTGAGAAGGTCCTCCTTACTGGATATTCGTTGGTTCGTTGACCAGCATTTGGTGTCATAGGACTGTTTTTAGGTGTCCCGTCAGCCATAGGAAATTCAAGATTGCACCCAAGTCCCTGAGGAGACTGATTGCCCAAATAAGGAGTAGCGCGTCCAGATTGCCCCAAAACCTTAGGTTCCTGATAGGTACCTTTAGGGGCGTTAGGTGCACTACCACCAGTATAGGGTGTATCACTGGGTATCAAAGAAATTTCCCTTTCCTTACTGGCATTTGGCAGACCGGATCCTCCATACCTCCATATTACTCTGATTACCGTAACAAGCAATAACATGCTCGTTATCGCTACTAGAGAAATTACTGCATTTTCTTGAGATTCCTGCACGATCTCGTTTTCTGGAAAATAGATCCAGGTCATCACCATCAGGGAGCATCCCATCAAAGCAAAGAGTACCCAAATAAATAGGATTCTCTTTAAGCTTGGTCTTGGATTGTACTCGTTGAAAACAGAAAGACCCTGCGAGTTTTGCCCGAACTCCTGAAAGTTAGGACTGTCTGGCATTACTCGACTTGTGGGCTGCAAATCTGTTGTACACCCAGAATTGGCCTCTATTCCAGAGTCATTCAGAGGAGCTGGACTGTCAAAGTACTGCCCTACCTTTGTAGGCGTAATTTTCCTCCTTAAAATGGGTGTCTCCATTTCAAACTCAGTGCTATTCCGTTCCGGTGTTACACGTAGAATAACTTCTTTGGATCCCACCGCTGCCACCAATTGTAACGTTTTTCTCTATGGGGTGTTTGTTTTTTACCCGCGTCACAAAATATTGTGGATCCCGTGTAGAAGATAGGAACTTTAGATCTTTATAGATCTAACATCAGAACAACGACAAAGTTTGTTTCAACAAGTGTATTAATAATATCCAAAGGTAGTTTACAATCCAGTACAAGCAATGTATATCAACTCACTAACTCTCTCTCCTTATATACCTTGTCTGACACCTAACGTGATTTAGGGCACCTTGTTAGAGCGTTAGGCTCCATCGTTAGGGCACCTGTTAGGGCGTTAGGCTCCCTCATTAGGGCACCCTGTAAGGGCGTTAGGCTCCATCGTTAGGGCACCTATTAGGGCAATCGGCTCCAAGTATTAGGGCCTCTGCACCATTGTTAGGTGTCAAGACACTTAATACATTTATAGCATCTGATAAGCGCCATAATTAGGACACTAATTAGACTTCCAAGATAAGGGCGCTAATCAGGTACCATGGTTAGGGCTTATCAAATGAACAAATTTCTTATCTCTGTTTTACTTATAACAGTAACATATTTTCATATAAAACAAAAACATTGCAATTATAACAAATCGCCGAGTACATTTTAATTACTTCAATTGTTAGGTACATACCGCATATCTACTTTAGTTGGTTTGGGGAAATATATCCATCATGCCCAAATATTACGTAACGAAGATTTATCGGGTTGAGCTACATGTAATTTCTATCTGTGTAAGACTAATTTTCAGATGTTTGTATATTAAAACAGCATTGTTATGTATTATATTATATCTTTGAATTATTAGGTACTGTTATATCCAAAATTATTTCAACTGTAAACTATAAACGAGTGGAACTGTGGGACTGAGGAACACTTGACCTGGGGTTTGACACCCCCCCCCCCCCCCAATTTAGACTCATGGAGAGTCATTGTATTATATGTTACATGTACTATTTGTTATTTTGTAAAGTAATGGGTTGTATTGCCCAGAGTTCTATTCTGAATAATGAGTTTATAACAGTATACTTATTTCTATATAATGAAAATTTAACTCTGTAATGATTATTTTGTACACCCTATGAAGTTCATTATGCAGTTTCCTTTCTATGCTCTTTTCACGATTAAATGCATTCACTTCAAATGAATAATATTTTAAATGATAAAGAGAATTAGAATTTAGCTTTCATTCGAAAACCATTTCAATATACAATTTATGATTTTCAAGCCTTGACTTTTAATCAGTCGAACATTAAAATCAAAAAGGATATCAAATTCTATATATAACGCGATAAGTAAAAGCCTGATTGAGGGTCTGGATATAGAATTTTTGCTATTTCATTACTCTACATTGTATACACTATAAAAATTAGTTAAGGGGAAAAAAGCAATTTTAGATACTATGCAAATTGCTGTGAATACCATGCATGACTATTATCGATAATTAATGAAATAAATTGATTAATACGTAAAAACACCTGTTGAATAAAGACTTGTATTTCGCTCCTCTATTGTATTGAAGCGTATAGTAGAGAAACGAAAATAGAAGTCTAATTTTAATTCGATTGTGAAACGAATTTTTGGATATTTTTGAATTTAGTTTTTTTTTCGAAGTTATATCTCTTATCAGAAGCATATAACACCCAAAAAAAAACAAATGCATGCATGACTGTATAAAAATGTTAATGCCCCCTTAATCGAAGGTATACAGTTTTTGTCCTGTCCGTCCTGCATCAGTCTGTCTGTTCATCTGTTTGTCCGCAAAAACTTTTCCCTTGCTCATTATTTTTGAGTGGACGAGGCTGTGGCTATCATATTTCACAGGTATATTCCTTGTGTCAAAACCTTTTTTGGGCACACACTTCATTTGTGTATTCCTTGTGACAAGATCTTTCTTTGGGTACCATGCACCATGTGGTCATGGTCAAATAATGAATACAACATGTGAACTTTCAGACATGAAAAGTCTAACACTAACTGTTCAAAAGTTACGAACAATTTAATAAAGTTTTTTTTTTCACCCCAAGGTAACAGGTCAAATTTGGTGGTATTGTCAAAGAAATAATATTATTATATTATTATGGAATGCTTGAAACTTTGATAGCTTAGTTAATAAGAGTTATCGAACTTTATAATTGTTTCCTTGTCTATTTCTCTTATTTTTCCCCCACAGTTGTAAAATAAAATAGTGATTAATAAACGAATATGCAATAATGTAACAATACACAACTTACTTATCTAGGACGTTTTAATTTTGACTTCAAATACTTAGTACTCAATTCTTCAAAGAATTGATGTTTTTTCGGTTCTTAGTGAAACCCCTCCCTGTAAACTTCCTTTTCCGGTATATCCTCCATGAACACGGCCGTATTGTAAATATAGGCCGAAAAATCTGTCTTGATCAAGACATAGAAAACGCTATAAAGTTAAAATGGCAGAGCAGATGACTCTGAGAGGGACCCTTCAGGGCCACGGAGGATGGGTAACTCAAATTGCCACGACTCCTCAATATCCAGACATGGTTTTGTCGGCATCTAGAGGTAAATATCGTCGTGTCACCACATTTAATACATTTATTTTAGATTTAGATTTATTGATTCAAGGGATTCGCGGATTTATTTGAATAAAGGAGATCCTCATAAGATTTAGGACCCGTATTCGTTTGTCTTCTCAAATTCTAAGCACATAGAATGACAGTTCACTCAACCATAAACAAGCAAACCGAATGCAGTTACGGTTTTATTATCACTTCAAACAGTATAACGATAGAATTAATAGTTAGATTTCGTTGAAAGTATAATCATCGATGACAAGTACCCCAATGAACTGAAAATATCCATTTGCAATAACGACAAATGCATGCACGACTATTCATTTCGAATTTCCTCGACAACTTTGTACTGTCATAGTTCACGGTCAGAATGACTCTAAAAACTGTATCAAATATTTTGTATGAAATTTTTGCAAACATAATGTTTGAATGGAGATAAATAATTGCCTCCTTAGCTGGTCAAATGGGAAACTCATTCAAATAAACCAAACATAAATTGTAGACAAAACACTTATCATGTGGAAGCTTACAAGAGATGATGCCAATTATGGGCTCCCACTTCGTTGCTTGAAAGGACACGGTCACTTTGTTTCTGATGTTGTCATGTCATCAGATGGTCAATTTGCCTTGTCTGGATCATGGGATAAAACCTTGAGATTGTGGGACTTGAGTGCGTAAGTAATTTGTAATTGATGAAAAAAATATAATGAAGTTTGATTGATACGCATTTATGTAGTGCTGGGTATCGCGACGGAAAAATCGTATCGCGATATATTGCAATATTATATTTTGTATTGCAATATATCACGATATAAATATTTAATAATTTTTTGCTTTTCGTCAAGGTTAAATGAAAGCACAAACTCAAATTACAAGTTGATATTCAAGTTGATATTCCAATTGCCTGATCGCATTATGTTGGCGCAATCGGCAAGATAAGTTTTTTTGTGGCAATTAAGTTGCAATACTCAGATTTAGCTTTAACATGGGTTTCATATAACAGTTGTTGTCGTTTCATTTTTGAAACAGACATGTCTCTGGTTTCTGATCAAACTTCACGTCGCTTGCCGCCATATTTTACCTTGGAAAGGGCAAATAACTCTTTTTGTAACAATTTATAGCATATCGAACCCGAACCGGTATTCACAATAAAATACCGCGATACGTATTGTGAAGAACGAAATCGGGATGCACCGGTTAACCGGTAATATCGCACAGCACTACATTTATGATGCATGAAAATGCTTTTATTCCCAAAGTATATGAATTATTTCTCTTTTCAGAGGAACTACCACCCGTTTGTTCTGTGATCATGAGAAAGATGTAATGAGTGTTGCCTTCTCAGCTGATAACAGACAGATTGTGTCAGGATCCAGGGATAAATCCATCAAACTGTGGAACACACTCGGAGTCTGTAAATACACAATTCAGGTAAGTTTTACTGACAGCGTAAATCCTTGCAGTAAGAACGGATTTCCATGTATCAGTGAAATAAATGCAATCCCTTTCAGAGATTTTAAAAATAGAAATGGATATTATATTTCAGGACGAGGGTCACACAGACTGGGCATCATGTGTCAGATTTTCACCAAACACTGCCAATCCAATCATTGTGTCATGTGGATGGGATAAAATGGTGAAGGTATGTGAGGACACACAACTTATTTTCTTATTATTATCTTCTATCTGTTCTAAAATAATGAACTAAGAAGAAGATATCTACAGGTCCTTTTGCATGTTTACACTTTAGTTTTACTGTTGTCCATTATTGAATTCATTCATGTCATTCTATAAAATTTGATCTATTACAGGTGTGGAACTTGACCAACTGTAAACTAAAGACAAACCACATTGGACACACTGGTTACCTGAACTGTGTCACAGTGTCTCCTGATGGATCACTCTGTGCTTCTGGTGGCAAGGCAAGCTTTGATATATAGAGTATTTTCTGCCCTGTTCATAATGATATTGAATTTACTGTTGATTTCAGACCATCATTTGACAGTGTTATCCGGCTGTTCTGACATTCTCTAACATTGGTTTTCTGAATCTGATAATGTAGTACAATATTGATGGGATAGGACATAGTGCAAAAAGATTTCATTTTCTGGGGTTTAAAAAAAAATGGATATTTAAGTTATGCATTTATTGATCCATATAATGCTCAAAGAAGGGAGCAATATTTGCTGCTTTCTGTCCGTCTACCATCAGTTTCAATTCATTTTCTTCACAGGGGTCACACATATTGATATGAAATTTGGTGTACAGATTTATCATAAGAATGTCTAGACCAAGTTCTATTTTGGGTACGATCGGGCTATTTAGACAGAGTTATGCCCCTTGGACTTAGAAACATTCCAATTATTTGCAGTTTCCGTTCATTTTCTTTGCAGAGGTTGCACACATTATTACTGTATTTATTATTTTATTACTGTATGCTGACTTTCTAAATCTTTTTCAAGTACCAAAAATACCTAAATGTTTTATTTTTCCTTCTTCAAGAAGTAATGAATGTGTAAATAAAAAATTTGCAATTCTGCCACAAACAGGATGGCCAGGCAATGTTATGGGATCTAAATGAAGGCAAGCACCTGTACACATTGGATGGAGGAGACGTTCTCAACTCTCTGTGCTTCAGCCCCAACAGATACTGGCTCTGTGCTGCTACTGGGCCCAGCATCAAAATCTGGGTAGGTATAATGGTGTTTGTAAAGACTCACCGTGGCAGGTATTTATCGTAGTGTAACGTCACATGTACATGTTGCAAACTTGTGTGTTATTCAAGCAGGAAAAATGAAGAGTTAACACACTCAAACCATTTAATGTATAAATAAATTCCTGGCAGGAATTGCACAATGAAATATATGGAGATAACAAACAGTATTCCAGCCCAGAAGTCCATTTAAAACAATACAAATCAGGAGCATTGCAAACATGGACCTCCAAAACATCACAGGTGGGATCAGGTGCCATGAGGAGTGAGCGCTGCATGGCATTTCCGGAAATCTGCATAGCATTTCCGACATAATTTTGTTTTCATTTCTGGAATTTACCTGCGGCAATTTGATGTTTTCCTAGTCAGCGAAAATGAAATTTTGAAAGTATTTATTGCTAAATATTGATTAAAAATATATTTTAAAAAATCTATTCATGATACATATATGCATACATATAGCACTAAGTCTAGGTAAAAGAGTTCAATGAACATACAACTTTTTCACCTCATTATCGTATTTGGCCGAGTATAATACGCATTGATGTAAAATACGCACCCCCCTTTTTGCGTCTGTAACTGGGAAAAAAACGCAGTTGGGATGTATTATACGCAACAGAAAATTTTACCAAGCGATGTTCTGAACTTTGAAAATCGCAGTAATTTGTAACGAAAATCGGCGCGAAGATTAAGTGTCAAAAATTTACAGAACACACATTTATCTTTTTTTCTTCTTAATCTGCAATTTCCATATCGCGGCAATAAGGAGAAAATTATCTATTCATTAATTTCAACAAAGCACAAGATAATGTTGCGTAAAAGTGTTACTAGTAACAGAATTTATTTTTTAAGCATACGATGATTTTGAAATAATACGTCGCCACATAATTTTTTGGTGAAATAATTTTATTTCAACAAAGCATGAGATATTGTTGCAAGTTTTAACAGTTGTCATATTTAATTTTGGTTCTAGGTAATCATGCTGAAAAACGAAATTGAAACATCAAAGTATTTTTAAAATTAAGAAGACTACGATTTTCCTCTTCTGAATTGTCGCGGATATTTTATTTTCTACAGAGCACAAATAAATGATAACATTTAAGTTTTAGCATACTTCATATTTAATTTGTTAACTCTCAGTTATTTAAAAAAGGGTTTGATAAGTATAAGATAAGGTAAAATTACATTTAACAAGTGTTTGATTGTTTAATGTGTCGTAATCAACACACGCTCACCCATACGAAAGGTTACAAACCGACCCCCGCTTTTTAACAAAGAAAATAATCAAAGCAATTAAAAGGACAGTAAAAATAATCATTGTTATAACTGTAAAAACATTGCTTTGGAGTCGGTAGACAATTAATTGCCTGAAGGGGTGTTGAGAGGTAATTATCAAGTGACCAGCGCACGTGTGTCACGACATTGGCTTCCTTTCAATGGGACGTATAAAGGGGTGTTTGTGTTGCAGTGAATTTTCACTGAGTTAGCAGTGAATTTTCACTGAGTTATTTAAAAACTAAAATAAAATTTTTATTTTATTGTATTTCATCCAAAAAATGACTTATTACTTTGTCAGGCAGATAAGGTGCATGTGTACTATGATTACGGAAGCACGTGACAAAGGAATGTGATAACGTCTTAAAATAGCATCGGTAATGGCGGCCTACACGGAGACGATAAACATGGAGCTCAAATTAATTTTAACTTGCTTTTTCATGTCATTTTAGTGTGTAAATATTATGAAAGTGTTATTTTTAACAAGAATACCTTCCAACAATAACTTTCCAAAGTTTAAAATATGACGATAATCAAAAGAAGTTGCATATGTCTCTTGGCAATACTACGGTATGTACGTATGATAGCCGTTTCACCTGAAAGAACAACTTATCAAAATCCCATTGTGATGTAAAATACGCATCCCTTTCTCACAGAAATTTATTTTAGGAAAAAATTGTGTATTACATTCCCCCAAATACGGTAAATGTGCACAAAAGTAAATGTCAGTGACAGCACATCTTCGCTAGCCAAGGGTTTCTGATACGCTTCTCTCCTCATAAACCCTTGGCCTACGGTGAAGTCAAAAGACGGGATTGTTTTCCGTCACGTGATCTCGAATCTATCAGGTACGCACAGATTGCGTCATCGCCAGAAATAAAGACACGTGTTAAAAAAAATTAAATCAAAGTTTTTTCAAGAATAATTAAGAAGCAATAATTGAGTTATGTTTATTCATTATTTATAGAACAAATCTGAAGCTTCAATAAAGATTCTTAATCACATATTTAGAAGATATTGGATGAAACCATGGCTATTCATAGAATTGAATGTTATCTTACGGATCGTTGTTTTCTTGCGTTTTTCATTTCCAAGATTAAAGAGTGAAGATGTATCCCGAACGCAAATATCGTCATTTACAAAAAACATTTGCTGATTGGTCGACCTGGGTGTACTGAAATCCAATCAGAACTCTGGAAAAAAATCCCGATTTCTATGAACACCATAGGCCAAGGGTTTATGAGGAGAGTAGCGTATCAGAATCCCTTGGCTAGCGAAGATGGTGACAGCACCAAACTTATGTCTAAGACACTTGATGTACTCTAATCCAGTTTATACTCCGGTTTATACCGCATTTGTTATACTGCTCTGCACAGAACTTTATTTTTTCTGCTGTACATCTAGGCAGAGTATAAACATTGAGTCAATTTTCTCAAACTTTAATTCAGGTAGTTGCCTACATTTTCTATTGTCACAGTCATTTCAAAAACACAGATATTCGATTTCAATTATTTATTTATAATTTGTATTCCTTTAAATTTTTCATAGGTAATCGATAATGTCTTCAAATCTATTAGTAAAGTTACTGTCTGAAAAATGTCGGAAATGAAAACAAAAAAATGTCGGAAATGAAAAAATGATAATTGCTAAAAATTCTGGAAATGAAATGCAGCAGGAGTGAGCATATCCTTCCAACTGGTCACCCCCGTCATGTGCTCCTTGTCATGATTGGGAAACAAGGGAAATATCTGTCAACCAATTTGGTTTGTAAATAATGCTCTACCAACTAGTATGAAAAATGTCAGTGAGCATTTGACTTCATGATAGATTGCATTTGCTGAAAAGGTTATTGTATTGACCATAGACCTTAAGAAATGATGACTTTAAATGAGAATGTTGATATTCTTGTATCATCAAGATGTTGGTGAATACATAAGGCATTGTACCATTGGTAAGTTGTAAATTCAGCATTTAATTCGGTCGCAAGTAAAAAAAATCAACCTGAGAATGCTGCCTTCAGGTGAAGGTGGCAAACTTCCCGTTTTCATAATGGCACTGGTTCTGACGTTTTCTTGGCATATAAAGTATCAAAATTGTTGAAAAGTCTGGAAACTGTCGGATATTACGGACTAGTTGTATCCAAGAATGGATCAAATTTTGCACTATTTCAACTTTCTTGAAAGAGTGTACTCAAGGGAAATTTAATATTCTAATCTAAATATAATGGTTTAGCCTCATTGATATTTACCAAATAGTGCTAAATATCTGGTTAGAAATATTTGTAATTTTTCATTGAGATAGTTAATGAGGAAAGTTCTCAATAGATAATTTTTTTTTTAGCAAAATTACTTCCCATAGATCACCACGTTGTAGGTACTAGTAAACAAGACAGGATTCCTTCATTATGTAAACAATTTAATTGCCGTATATGACATTCAGATACCAGTTTTTCTTACCAATTTATGTTTGCAAAAGGAAATAAATCGGAGGAAGATGTCATATGAAAAGCATTGTAAATTTACCTTGTCATTATGCTATGTACCTAGTTACAATGTAATGAGGAATTTTTTAAGATGAAAATCAAGCCTGCAGCACAGTGAATACTTTGAAAAAGTATTTCATTTTGTCATACAAATAATAATAAAGAGATCCAACTTTAAGAACCCTCTGATTTACATAAATTTAATAGACTGAGAATTGATTTTTTAATTCAAACTATCTGAAGATTTTTTCTTGGCATCAGTGATTATAAAGTGACATGATTGAAGAATCCTGAAAGAAATGTCCTGCAATTCTGAGGTGCCAGAGATTGATAAAGAAAAAATATATCTTGAACCCTCTAATGTTTCCCCCTATGATAATTTGCCTTTATAGATCATCTGAGCTGAAAGCTGAAGTAAGTTTCCGATTTATTCATTGTCTGTCTGTCTGTAAACTTTTCACAATTTCGACTTCTTCTCAAGAACCACTGGGCCTATTTCAATCAAACTTGCCATAAAGCATCCTTGGATGAAGGGTATTCAAGTTTGATAAAATGAAGGGCCCCATCTTCTTTCAATGAGAGAAAATAAATAAGTCACAGGTGTCATTTAAAATTCTTCTCGAAACTCATTGGGTCAAACTTATTTGAAACCTTCTCTACATAGTGTAGATTCAATTTCTTCAAATCATGACCCCAGGGGTAGAGTGGGGCAACAATGGTGAATCAAAGTTTTTTACATGGAATATGTAGGGAAAAAAAACTGCAAATCCATGATTATTCAATCATATACATGATATATGAAAGCATTCTCAGATAGAGTTAATTCAAGTTTGTTCATATCATTGTTATTGGGGGATAGGATGGAGCCACAATGGGGATCAATTTTTACAAATGAATATATAGGGGGGAAAATTCAAAAATCTTCTCAAGAACAGTAAAGCAATGTTTAGTTATTTTGATATAGAAATTATCTTGAGGTAGTGTGATTCAAGTATGTTAAAATCATGACCCTGAGGGGTAGGGTGGATTCACAATAGAAATTAAAGTTTTATTCAGGAATTAATGAGAGAAAAAAAAAGAAGCTGATGAACAACTGCATGGCCATATTGACTTGTGAGCATTGTGGTCCATGGGCTTCTTGTTAGATTGGTATTGGGCATTAGAGATGTTTTTTTACAAGTTGTAAGTGTATGAAGTATTTTCAGAGTCTTTTTTAGTCAATTTTGCTTATAAAATTGATGGTTTTGAGTGATGATCAATTGAGTTGACAATAGCTAGTAGACAATGAGATATTGGAATCTCTACGAACAAATGATAATAATAATAATAATAATAATACTTTATTTATAGAAGGTAACCCGATTAGTGCAAGCACTAGTCTTCCTCGGGGCCCTCTTTATAACACATATACAATGTATATACACAATAAATACAAATCACAATAAGGAGACAATAAAAAAAATGGACAGTACATGCATGTTACCAAATAAATAAATAAAACATATACATTTAAGCATAGAGAGAGAGAGAAAAAAGAAAAATCACGTAGAACCATTGCGTTTCACGAGCAAAAAATTTTTAACACTTTTTTTAAATATTGTAAGGGATTGGGAATTCCTTATACTTATTGGTAGCTCGTTCCAGATTATAACTCCTGAATATTGTAAAGAATTTTTAAATAAGTTAGTTTTATATTTTGGTAATCGCAGTTCGGAGTTTGTTTCAGAGCGTAACGTGTATGATCCAGAGCTTTGAAATTCAAAAAGATTATGCATATAATCCGGAGACATACCATTAAGTATTTTGAACATTAGAATGCTTTTCTGTAAATATAAAAGTTCATAAACCGTTAACCAGCCTAAAGTGTTAAATAAAGGCATTGAAGGTGTATCATATTTTTCATTTAAAATAATCCTAGCCGCTCGTTTTTGTAATCTGTAGACTCTATCCACGTGCGTTTGAGGACAGTTGCCCCATATGGACAGACAATATAAAATTGATGGTAGAATAAAAGCATTATAAAATAGTTGTCTAGTATGCATTGGAAGAAACTTTTTAATTTTTCGTAAAGTGAATATTTTATATGTAAGAGTTTTGCAAACTGCATCTACATGACAAGTATATTGTAGATTATGATCGATGTGAATGCCTAATAATTTGTGCATTTCTACATTTTCAAGAGTATGTCCGGAAAGTTGTAAATGAAAATTAACATTTTCTAATTTAGATTTCTTTTGTTTTGTTCCCATTAACATACACTTTGTTTTATCAGTATTTATAATCATCTGATTTTGTTGGCACCATTTTTGTAGTTGATTGAGTTCATGATTTAGAGTTGTTTCAATATGTGAAATACTATTGCCATGAAAATGCATTGTAGTGTCATCAGCAAACATATCAATATTACAATGTTCAACACATAATGGTAAATCATTAATATACAATAGAAACAACAAAGGACCTAAAATAGAGCCCTGTGGCACACCTGCTATGACTGGCAGTGATTCAGATATGTACTGTATGCACCAATTTTTACACTTTGTGTTCGATCATATAAGTATGATTGAAACCATTTAATTGATATTGGATCGAAATGATAGCATTTAAGTTTTCTAATTAGTATATCGTGATTAACAAGATCAAATGCTTTGCTAAAATCCAAATAAGTAATGCCAACAAATTTTCCTTGATCTATTGCATGCAGCCAATTATCGGTTAGTTTTGTGAGAGCTGTCTGGCATGAGTGAAATTCTCTAAATCCAGATTGTGCTTTCATTAGTAAATCAAAGTGAGAAGTAAAAATACGTATATTTTCTGCTACATGCTTCTCTAAAATTTTCGACATAGTTGGTAAAATTGAGATTGGGCGATAGTTTCCTGGGTCTGATTTATTGCCCTTTTTGAACAGGGGAGTTACTTTTGCGACTTTTAACTGTGAAGGAAAAGATCCTTTGATTATGCTAGAATTTATTAGGTGTGTTAGTGGTTTGGATATTACACTGGCTGAAAGTTTAAGCAATCTAGGTCCAAGAAAGTCTATGCCAGCAGATTTGTTTACATCTAGTCTTTTTAACATTTCAGATACCTTTTCTTCATTAATCAAGGGAATTTTAAAAAAGTCTTGATCTCCAAGTTTCGTCTCCGTGTATCTTTTCAATTTGTCTGACTCAAATGTGGTAGACGAAAGATTATTCAACAATTTCTTCGGAATTTGGGCAAAATGTTCATTAAAGGCATTTGCAATATCCTGTAAATTATCAAGATCTAAGCCGTTATATATTATATTGGAAGGAGACAAGTTTTTGTCTGATTTCGAGACCAGCTGATTTAAGTGTATATGTCTTACGAAGTAAACATACTAAGTATGGCATTGATGATGAAAATGACATGTTTGATGAATCTTGATAACAATGTCCTCCAATTCTGAGATGCCTAATGTACCAAATATCTTTCCTTTTTTAGTGTGTAATATTTTAAAGTGTATTTCCATGATTTGATTTTTCAGTTTACACAAATAAAGTTGAAAGCGTTCATGCTGGTGGTAAATTTTATAATTAAACCACCTCTTCAGTTTTGGTGCATAGTTGTGTAATCCTGCACCTGTAAGGGATCAAATAGAGAAGTTGGTAAATATCCCAATAGTAAATATCAGAGAGGGGTCACAGTTACATTTACAAGGCATCAAATCCTACTAAGGTCAAGTGACTTCTTGGACATTAAGTTCCTTATATTTTGCTGTTGGGAAGAAAATGACTACCGTGCATATTATTGCCACACTCACCTGCGCTATTGAATCTTGCTGAAATTAATAAAATTAAACAGTAATGTCCTGTTAACACATTCCATTTCTAATGGCTGTACACACACGTTTGCACAGAATTTAATTTGAAAACATATTGTCAATTTTTTCTGCATCATCTAACATTTTAGTATCTTATTTATTCATATCATTAAAGCTGACTGTTACAAAGGGATCTGTTTATTTTGTAATGCAAGTAAAATTTATTTGAAAATCGAGAGAAAAAATATTCAAGAAGGGGCTGTTTAATAGTGAAATGTAAGTCTGGCTTGTGATTCTTGGATATAAAGTACATGTATCAGAAGTTGACAAATGGCATCAATGATGACGAAGAGACATGATTGATAAATCCTGATAGTAATGTCCTGCAATTCTGAGGTGCCTTGGTGTAACTCCTTAAATCTGAGGGAAAAACCTAGTTTTTGTATGTGTGTCATAATTTTTGCGATATCCATATGTCATGGACGTAAAGTGCGATTGAACCTTTCAATCATCCCATCTGATTGGGAATGTTTTGATACAGTTACTGCATTATTTCCAGATGAAAATGTTTTGTGTTGGATCAGTGTATTTGTATACATGTATTAGAAATATAACTAAATCACATGGTAAAAACTTTTGTTTCTGCAGCAATATAAGATATATGCAATTTAAATAGTAGAAAACTGAATAGTGATGGCTAAAGATGGACTTCAAATTAAATGTCAATGTATTAAAGATAATAGCAAAAGGTTGCAAATAGATTAGTACTTCAGTTTATGATGAAGTATAGAGAAAGGTATGTCGATCCGATGATTATCCTTATGACATGTATTAGCTATTGAGACTAATGAAAATAATCAACAAGAAATGAGGATGACATACTCTGAAAATTGTCTATTTACCAGTAATAATGTATTACAGATTTTACCACTGTTTATTGATGAAAGCTTGTTTTCTTGAACAAGATTGGATCAAGAAAATTATTTTTAGATATCTGAGCATTTAGAGCACTGAGGTTAAAAATACATAAAGAAAATAAGGGTAGGAGCTTTCAACTCACCTTGACTTATGATATTGATGTTATGAGATAGAGAAGTTCAAATGTTGAACAAGTGATCTAATGAACAAACTGATGGTTTTCCACAATGAAAATTTTGTTTATTGATTTAATGGTTGTTCATTGTTTTTCAGGATTTGGAAGGAAAGATAGTGGTGGATGAACTGAGACAGGAGGTACTCTCCACCAACTCTAAGGCCCAGGCTCCCCAGTGTATATCCCTGGCCTGGTCCGCTGATGGACAGACTCTGTTTGCTGGTTACACCGACAACCTAATCCGTGTCTGGCAAGTTTCCATGGCAGCCAGATAAACTGCCAAATCTAGTGCTATAACTGAGGACATTTTAAAGTGGAGTTGTGGCTCTGAAAAAATGTGAATAAAATCTCAGAGTTTAAATAGTGTCCATGCGTTTTACTTTAGTATCAGAAGCATCCTTTGTTATCCCCTCGCGCAACTAGTTGCGGAGGGGATATAGCATCGCGAATGTGCGTATGTATGTGTGTGTGTTAGTGTGTTCGTTACCTTGTGGGCAAGATTGACAGAGAACCTTTGCATTAACCTTTTTCAGCGTTTACATACTTGTGTGGCAGTATAAAAGGACGAAGCCTATTAATTTTCAAGTCCATTGATGAAATATTTCTTCAGATATCGCGTTTTTACTGCCTCGAAACCCTGACATTTTATGTACGAGTTGATAAAATCATTTGTGGGCAAGATTGACAGAGAACCTTTGCATTAACCACTCTGGGCGTTTACTTACTTGTGTGGCAGTATAAAAGGAAGAAGCCTATTCATTTTCAAGTTCAGTGATGAAATATTTCTTCAGATATCGCATTTTCACTGTCTCGAAACCCTGACATTTTATGTACGAGTTGACAAAATTCATTTCCGCTAGGGAACCAGTTTAAAAGCCGTGTCGAGTTTGTGGGAACCAGATTAAAAGAATTTGATGAACGTCGCGGTTTCATTACCAAATTCCAACAGGTGTCTGGGAATTTGGGGTGCACGTTAAGTTGTGTGTGTGTATGTGGGGGGGGGGGGTCTAAACCAACACAAAAGGTAGACCCCAATTTTCAATGCATAGAAAATGTCTATATTTTTCACAAAAGTGGGAGGCTAAGCCCCCCCCCCCCTCCCCCCGGTTCCGACGCCTATGCCACAAGTTCAAATAAACTCTCGATGCACATTGTAATTTTTATTACGGAAAAAATGCATATTGCATGGAACTGTGAAAAACTTTTTGATCACCCCTCGTATACTAATTAGGTAGGCAAATAATTAGAATTACCGAAACTTGTACATGTAGCATACGTGATATGTTTCTACTAGGTATATAAGGGAAACTGCCCAATTACGTATGCAAATTATGCCCCCACCCCCTCCAAACTTAAATGCTATGCAATTTGATTTTTGTTAAAAATAGACACCCCCACCCCCTATAATTTTGTTAAAGAAATAAATAGAGCTGAAAAACAATTTAATACCTTATATGATTTTTGTTAAAAATAGACACCTCCACCTCCTATAATTTTATTAAAGAAATAAATAGAGCTGAAAAACAATTTAATACCTTATATTAAACTTTACTACCCAAAATTAGGTATTAATGTTATGCCCCCCCCCCCCCCCCCCAACCAAGACGCTTTGCACTTTGCATTTTGTAAAAAAAAAAAATTGGATCAACAACAACACTCCACTGATTATTTTGTCAAAAGGGAGTTGAGCCTAATGTTGCGGGTTTGAATCCCACTGTGGGACGTGGAGACTGGTCCTTCGAATGAGACCGTGTAAACCAAGGGCCAGTGTCCCAATAGATGCTGGTACAAAAAGATCCCTCACTGCTCAATGGCCGTCAGTGCCTATTATAGGAAAAATGTGCAGCTCTTCACGGGCAAGCCTTCATATGAGCAAAATATTCAAAAGAGGGACATTAAGGTCAAGATCTAGTAAATGAAAGGTGCCTACAGATTTATCAAACTTGAGAAATAAATTCCTTTATTGATGCTTTACAACTTTAGCTTGGTCAAATAAGGTGTTTTGGGGCATAATTTGTAAGTAAACATGATGAAAAACTGTCTTTTCAACTGTTATTTTCAATGAAAAATTAAGAAAGCCAGTTATGAATATGGGAGATTTTTTTCATACTCAACAAAGGAAATGTATCCAGATTGCCTACAGTCTCTCGGAAAACGGTAATTAGTATGTTCATGGCCTCTTCTTTAAATCAATATTAAATTTAATATAGGTATCCGGTTTACTTTTCATATGATTTCAAATTGAATGACATGAAAATACCCTATTTTCTACATAATTCTGCTAAAGCTGTAAAGTACGGGAAAAAGAAAGTTGAAATTGATTATGACGTCATAATGGATCTAGCACCCAAAAATTAGTCTCAAGTTATTTACTAGATCTTGACCTTCAACAAGATACTTTGTACTATCAATCTTTAACATGTTTAACGTCCCTCTAGAGAATTTATCTCTCTTGAGATATTGCCATTACCAGTGATGTTCCTGCCGCGAGGGGATGCTCCGCTTAGCGGTGCCCTTGTTCAAGTTTGTAATGACATCATCATTACAAGTTTGTAAAATATAGTCATGTGAATGAAAATTCTCGAATAATTTTCCGGGCACTTACAACAGTTTACAGATAATTGATGATATTTTTTTAGCATCCCTAGATTCAATATTTCCTTATTAAATTGATTAATGTAGTACTTCAGTGAGTTGGGAAATGGGAATGTTCCAGGAACAAACTGTTAACTTGGATATAGAACTTCCTGATTGACCTTTTCATCTATACTACTTGTAGTTTTGTATGCTTGTACTTGATTCATTAACTCCATAAAAAATCCTTGCAAAAACCAGGGTCAGGTAAAGATTTTTTTAAAGTAACAGCTTTTTAACTCTTGTAAAAGATAGGCTTTTTGATATTAAAGACAAGTGCTTCTCAAAGAATGGAAACAAGAAATTTTCATTTCTTTTAGATTTGTTATCAACAAAGTTACTTTAAAAATAATTCTTCACACACTGTACTCTAAAGTTGATATTAAAAGGGTATTCCTCGTTGACAGTATCTTGGAGTCTGTGGAGACTGGTCTTCCAACAAACTACTGGAGTTCCAATCCAAATTCATTTGCTCCTAATACATTTCAAGCAGAATTTAATCTAAAACTTCTTCATGAGAAGGAGAAAAGCTTGTTTTGGTCTTCAACATCACAATGTATTATCAATTAATAATAGTCGTAAATATGTTGACTCGGTATAATCCTAGTGAAAAAAAAAGACACTGAAGAGTCTGCCACATCCATTTCATATTTGAAAATTTTACGCATATATAATGTGACCGTTAGAATGAACTTTCTTTTTTAAAGACGAAGTGAAAATGGCAGAAGCAGGAAAGTTGAGCCTTAAAAGATGAAGAGACGATTTGATATCAATTTCAAACCATTCAGGTTTGGTTAAAATGACCACCAACAATAATATATTGAAGAACCTGAATATTTTTATGGTTTATCTGACAGGAAAATGAACACACATATGGTTTTGTTTTATTTAATGAAGAATTTGAAATATACTTTTATGTACAAAAAAAAAAAAATTCAGAAAATATTACAACTGCAAGTTATCTGTTAGACACAGAGATACTCCAGGCGCAAAAAAACCCTCCTGTGCCTGTGGGGAAAAACCTACTCAAAAGGTCACAAAATTCTTTGTATATATATCTCTTTTCAATAGAAGGAATTAATGTCTACAATAATTTTAAAACTTAGGCAATATAACCTATATTAAATATTGCACAATTTTCATGATAGTAGAATACGACAAATGATAACATAGATCACATACATTGACATATATATGTTTGACAAGATTATGGCATTTTTTCAACGTTTGTAAACAAAAAAGCAAACAAGAACATAGTAACATCGGGACTTTCGAAACAGATTTTCCAAACAACAGAGGAAGAAACATTCCTCTCTCTCTCTATCTATCTCTTAAAATACAATGTTCACGTAAATATTCAGTATTTGATAACTTTGTATTTTAATACCCCATTTATACATTATACAACTTTAAAAAAAATCCACATCCCAACAAAAAAATTCGACCTTTTTCCTTGATTGTGTTATTACTGGTATGGTGGTGGTTTCTGCAAGATATATTAAAAATGTAATTACTGTACTGTTAATCTTCAAAATAATTGCTTTTCCTGTTAAATTAAAACATAGTAAGCTGCTTTAGCGTATTTTCTTGACAGTAGTTATACCTACCTGTGAGTATTGGGGTGGGTACGCCGGTGCAGTGGGTGGGGGTTGTTGATAAGCACCAGCTGGTGGGTAGGCCGTTGTTGCGGTTGTCGCAGCAGAAGTTCCATAGACTGGCTGAGCTACCCTAATGTACTGCAGACGGTTTCTGCGCCTGCGCAACCCGATGATGCAACTTACAATGAGCAGGAAAATGATAACCCAGATGAACCAGAACCCTTAAGACAAAACAATTTGCAGGTAAAAAACAATTGTATTTTATTGTAGCAATAATTGAACATGGTACACGTAACTTTCTTTATACAAGAACTGAAGCAAAACACAATGTAATTCAGTAGCTGGAACACGTAACTAACGGTATCTATAAAATAACTATAGAAATAAGTAGTTGGTACAAACTACTAGTATATACAATAATATAGCAGTTTATCTTAAAAGGATGGTGCATGTAGCTATCTGTTTACAGTACGAATATACCAACTGTATATGCGCTGTATAGCAAGAATTGAGGAGAATATTACTCACACCACAACTGGTACACGTAGTAATGTGTGCAACACTCCATATTGCCGCAGCAATATTGATCATTGGCTGAAAATATAACAATATTTTAATTAAAAGTTATATAGTTTATTGTGTGCTATAATCACCTCCATATAAAGTGCAAAAAGAAGAGTACAATAAATTACGTTACTTACAACAGTAATATCTGACATTGAAATCGCTCCAACACGTCGTAAACCCCTAAAATATTAAACAAGATGTGTTTGTGAAACACTATGCGCCCGGCAGCAACAAAGTTCGAAAAAAGCTATTTTTAGCATATAGGTCACAGTCAGGTCACAAGGTCATTGGCCTTGGTATCATTTGAAAGAAATTGATAAGTGGAGTATGCATACCAAATATACCAAATATGAAGTCTCTATCTCTCATGGTTCAAAAGTTATGATGAAGGTTCAGAAAGACTTTTTTTAGTATATAGGTCACAGTCAAGGTCACAAGGTCATTGGCCTTGGTGTCATTTGCAAGAACTTATTTAGTGGAGTATGCATACCAAATATGAAGTCTCTATCTTTATTAGTTCATAAGTAATGGCGAAGGTTTGAAGACAAAAAGCTATTTTTAGCATATAGGTCACAGTCAAGGTCACAAGGTCATTGACCTTGGTATCATTGGAAAGAACCTAACTATAGTAGAGTAGGCATACTAAATATGAAGTCTATATCTTTCATGGTTCAAAAGTTACGGTGAAGGTTAAAGTTTGCATGAAAAAGCTATTTTTAGCATATAAGTCACAGTCAAGGTCACAAAGTCATTGACCTTGGTGTCATTTGAAAGAACATAATTAGTGGAGTGTGTATTCCAAATACAAAGTCTTTATCCTTTATGGTTCAAAAGTTATGGCGAAGGTTAAAGTTTGCAGTCCAACAAACAGACAGGACAAAAACAATATACGCCCCGGATCTATCGATCCAGGCGCATTAAAAAAAATAAAGTATTCAAATATGCGTAAGGTTACAGTCGCTACAAGGAAAATTAAACAAGTGGGTTTAGTTAAATTTATATATTGCCATAAAATTTCTCTTGCACTCATCTTTTCTACGAAGCCGGTAGGTGCCAAGTAGATAAGTATTTTATTTGGCGGCCTCCATATAAAATGTTTTTTTTTTCTACCTGGCAACTACTGGCTTCTGTATTTTTCAAATGTTTTTAAAGCAGATTTTATTAACCCAAATCTTTGATCAGTGTTATACGAGCATCTAACACAGGTATTTACACATGTTAACACAAAATATATAATACAAAAGGACAAAGAAAAACCCACCAGTTTTTGATTTTTTTTTTAAAGGAAAGGAGTGAATAACCCAGAGAAGGGATCAAATGCCTATTCAGGATTGACCTGCCCGCTACATTTTGTAACGTTCTGTACTAAATAGTGTTCTTTTTTTCTGGTGCTATAGGCCTACATGTAGAATCAGCGCAATCAGTAGAAAGTTAACTTTACACATTTACGAGGGCTGTTCAATAAATAATGTCCTGGGTGCTCGGAAAGAAGCAAAAGACGCTTTTCGATGATTTAGTCTTCATGATTTAACTTATTAATCTCTTTTAATTAAAACACATGTCCGTAACATTTTTATCCAATTTCTGATTGTTTTTAGAACTCATTTTTGGGTATGACCTTTAGTATACTGGAAAATGGAAGATCCAATGATTTTCTGGACCTGTTTCTTCCTTCTGAAAGGCGTTTTTTCAAGTTTGGAAATAGAAACAAGTCAAAAGGTCAAAGATCTGGCGAATATTGTTAATGTGAAAAAACATTAACTTTCTGTTTATCCTGGGCGTGCGGGTTTGGACGCTGTCATGAAGAAATTTAATGTAGTGGATTCCTGATTCTGGGTCCTTCCTCTAATAAACCTTTCGATTTTTTTTTTTTTGGCAAAAAAATTGCTTTCTAGCCTCCTTCAGAAATTAAACTGTTCCCCCGAATACGAATTTGAACAACAATACCACTAATATTTAAGAAAATCGCATATAAATCTGTCTTTGTGCTCTTGCAATTCTTTGCTTTTGTCAGACCTTCGCTGTTTTTATCAAGTACTTCTTATGGTAAATTTTGTTTTGAGGGTTTTAAGCAATAGATTCAAGTTTCATTTTCTGTTTGAATATCAAACAAACGTGGATAACTACAATTACTGATATTTCAAAATAATTGTTAAGACATTCGTACACGCTGTCTTTTTCACTCATTTTTCAAAATATAGGGTGACCTTTGAGTAATAAGCTTTTTTACCGTCAAACGTTTCTTAAAAACACTTAAACAGTGTAAAATACTCCCGAAATGATGTCTATCAAATTTGCTATGTGTCTTAAGGGTACTTACCACAAACAAAAAATGGATGCGCGAGTTGATATATATTTTTTTGACTGATTTTGATTTGAAATGACATTAATAATAAATCCCTGAAATATAAAGAAACCGTAGGTTTTCCTTGGTGCTTAGATATGAGATTTTGTTTTGCCTTCTATATAACTCCATACAAAATTTTGCACAATTTTTTAACGTTATAACAAAATCTTATATAATTCTCACACTCTACTCGGTAAACATTAATGAGGTTGTCAATTTAAATGTAAATCTATGAAAAATAATGCTGATTTCTGAAAAAAGTTTGTGTTATTTATCCTTAAAGTCAATCATACATCATCAAATATTATTTGTTGAAATTTGGCAAACAGTACATAAGTTGTTATATTTTTTGTTGACAAGGACGGTACCCATTTTTGATGCCCATTAAATAATTTTGACATTCACCTGTTATTTGTCTATAAAACAGGCATTGGTTGCTGTAAATGTCACATATTTCAGTGAATATTTCTTTGGGATTTTTAACAAGTTGTACAGAAGCTTTAATGAAGCTTTTATTTTCACTCTAGTTTACTTATTCTTTACCATTCATTTATAATGCAGTGTCTCGAATAGCCCTTGTTTTCCAGCTTCTCACAATGGAACTATGCGATGAAAAGTGGTCACATAAACAGTTATAAATTCAATAAAGATTAAATAATGAGAGAAAGTCAAGCTTAATGTCATATGATATCTGTATTGTATGCCATAAAGTTCAGGACATTATTTATTGTACAGCCCTCCTATTATGTGATTTTTCCCCTGAACAACAACTAAAAACTAGAAGTTTTTCGACCTGTTCTGTATGTATCTGATATAACGACTTCAATTTGCTTTAGTAAGTAATATGTCGAAACGGTTTTGAAAAACTGCACTCTAGGCCTAGTATGTAAATCATTGAGTAGTATTAGGAAGAACCATTTTACATCCCAGTTTGAGTAAACTCTTAAAGAACACTCAAGTTTACTGAAAATATGCCAATCACACACTGAAATTCTTAAAATTTGTATCTAAATTAACCGATACACTGAGTCTGTTCTTATTTATTTGTCCTCATTCCTTTTATTTTTGTTATCTTAAATATGTTTTTGTTACTCTAGTTTGTACATACATGTATGTAGGTGTCTATCATTTATGTTACTTAATAATAATCCGAATAATCCGTATCTCTCTGATTATATAAAGCGTGGCCGGAATTTTTTTAACTGTTAAAGTTTGGTTGGTCAATCTCTACCTCTTCTAAGACATTACACAAAATTCCCATTAAAGTACATCACTTTACAATTCAAGGAGTACACTTATTTATAACAATAAAACAAAAATTTAAGTACACTTTATAAATTTATTTATTTGTACATCGTACTTCCTTGTTCTGGATGACATGTATTTAAGACACCATTGTGTAAATAAGCCATGATATCACTATCTTCTTGTTGAATAAGGCATTAATATTTTACTTTGTCTCTTTGTTTCACTCTTTTTCTTAAGAAAATTTATAATTGAAATATAAAAATTACCCAAAACAGTAATTGAGCTAGTGTTACGGTATGTAGATCCAAGACTTAAGGGCACGTGAGCAGTACAGCAATTTTATTTACTATAATTATTCTGAATATGAGCCCTTTATGTTGATTAACCTGTAATAAAATTATCATTATCTCTGGGGAAAAAAAAACTGTCTTCGAAAGGTTTTTTTCCCCGTGTTAAATTCCTTTCTTTTTTAGAACAATGACTTGGATGTTTATCTCCATGTTCAATGACGTTTATTTATATGATAAAGTGACACACATTGAGTTTCATGCGTTGATCAATATGAAAACCATAAAAATATAAAGGTATTAAAACTTACAGAAATTGTCTGACAGAAAAATGCCAGTAGACCAAATACAGCCGACCAAATTCGTGTTGCGTCCATCTTGATGATCGGAGTCCTATTTCTATTTATAAACCCTGCATATATTGTCATGTGATAGAGAAGACCGTGTACAGTACAGTACAAAAATATTCGGAAGGGAGGTCCAAATAAATACGGTATTACTTCAAAAAGAGAGTACACACTTTGCTAGTTGAAAATTAAAACATTTTCAATAGATTTTTTTTTAATCCATTGATTGACTAGTAACTTCCTTTTTAAGCACAGAAACAGTAAATTTTTATTTAAAGTCGGCATTGTATAAACAGATAAATGTAGTATGTACATTTCATATCTCTAACAGTAAAACAAAAGTAAACTCTTGTCCAAATAGAATATTTTAATAAGGTATAAAACTTCAATGCTTTAGTAGAGACAAAATGAACGTAAACACTATTTCATAAATACATTACATTATTCCAAAAATCAATCGCAACACTATATATCAGCATGTTCATTATGTATAGTCCTTCAGAAGAAACCTAAATATCCATATGTATCACGATACTTTTTACAAATGTAAAAAATAAATTTGAATTTAATCTTTTTGAATTTATTCATCGAAATAACATGACAACATTAGTAGTCAAAGAGAAGAATATACAATCGTCTGTTCGTTGAAGATCATCGTTAGTTCTTTACTGGTATGTAGGTGGTTTCTGAAAAAAAAAATTATTCCATATATTTGCGTAATACAACCAAAACCAAAATTGGCAACATACATAATTTAACTAAATAAAGAAACATAAACCAAAAGAGAGTCTTCTAAAGTCAAGTTGTGCCCCAGTATCTGACTAATTTATACTAGGATACATTAAATCCACCAACCATGATCAAATAACTTTTTCGAAAGTCTCAATATTTATCATCATTTCTTTAAAGTTCTCCGTTTCTCTCCTTTCTTTTTTCAATCAGCAAGCAATTAACAGTATCTTCAGGACATATCAGACTTTGAAATCATTTCAACAAAGAGTTTGCATGGAACAAAGTTAACAGAAGAGGACAAACAAACAAACAGACAACCCTGTCAAAATAAATCAATCCTAGGTGTTGTAAAATACACAAAAAGTCAGGTGCATTTTCTGATACTTTATTGGTACATGTCTTAATTACAGTACTTCATGTTTCAAAAAATACGATAAGTAAACAGACCTGATCTACAGCTAAAGTGGAGAGATAAGGAGGCGGGGGATCATCCTTTGGATACAGAGAGTGACCTGGGGGCGATGCGGTCCCTCTGTATACAGCAGAATCAATACGGGTATATTCCCTCCTCATTTGTCTTCGCCTTTGACATGCTATTATACAAATCAATGTCAGGAACAACGCCACCACCACGCCAAACCAAAACCCTGATATGAATAACAGAAAATGTCCACAAGAATTAATAACATTGATAAACAAGAATGCGATTTATTATAACTTTGAATCTTTTAGCATCCTTTGGCAACAATACATTTACTTACACCATATGTGGTACAGCTTGGGATTGCAACATCTTCTTCCTCCATGACAGCAATGTTGATCTGAAATAATTGTCAGTTTCAGTACGATATCAAACGTTTGTTTGCGTCTTGTTATGGATATAAAGGAATATTTTCTTAAAAATATATTATTTTACATTTTTAAATAAAATATACATGTACCGTATAGAAATCTTACCTGGACAAACAATATTTGGTCTGCACTTTGAGGCCTGCAAAAGACGCGGAAACAATTAGGAAGTACAACTACACATAGTTAAAGTTTCTATAAGTAAAATTCATAAAATATACAACTGTCAGTTAAAGGTACTCACCCTATTTCACCATAAATAATAAACTTGGGAGTACATGTATTTAGTTTCAAATGAAATGAAATTTTACAGAATTTAGATGTATTTTCTTTTAATAATCTCAATATTACCATAATCCCATACTTCACAATACACATTTGTCAAGAGGGCTCGGACTTTTGAAAGCTCTAGAGGTGGGATCAGGTGCCTATAGACAGTAAACATCCCCCGTTGAGCGGTCACATCCTACGTTTTGATTAGGTAGTCAGAACATCCCATAGTAAAATTCATTTTAAAAAATAAAAGGTTTAGTAATTGGCATGAAATAAATCATCCAAAATGCCTTGATCTAATAATAGGCACATTTGCCAACGAGGTCGTTATAACGACCATTAAATTTACAAAATACCGACTAAAACGATGTGGCTAAAAAAAAAAAACAACAACAACAAATCTGTGATTGATCTAGCTCGATTGGAAAAGCTGAATTTTTAAAGATAATCTAGATGTTAGTTGACCCTTGTCGTCTATAGTTTGAAGAAAAAAAACCTTCCAAATATGAAACATGAGGGGCAGTCTCTACGGTGTCTTTTTTAAGTTCACTAGGTTACATCGAGTCGTAACTGTTGTTAATTGATATTTATCTAAATGTCGAGTTGAAGGAAAGAGCAATGGTTTTTCCTTTTCTCAAGTAGAAATTTTTTAATATATTCGGCTTCATAGGAATGTATTTTTAAAAAGGTCAGTTGAAAGCGGAGCGCATTTTAATCATTGAAAGAAAGGTGTACTTATCTTTAAAAAAAACATGCATAGCATATTCTCTTTTAATAGAATTTTGCTTTGTCGTAATTAATGAGCCAGCTGATGAAAATATAACATAATATTTAAGCTATACGAAATGTTTGACAGTTTCAATTTTTATTGTAATAAAAACATTCTATGGTGTACTTCCCTTTGAAAAAAAAAAAAGATTATATGAACTTCAAATTTCCATTTTCACAGTACAATGCAAAAAAAAAAAAATGCTCATTTATAAATTTTCAGATGATTCTGAGGATAAAACTATATGCAGATAAAATAACCAATTTTAACAGAATACCAATCTTTTATTCAATATCATATCATATTGCTGAAACTCCAATGTTATTGTGTATTATTAGAATAGGGTCTACACCATTTAGGAATAGAGCAAATAAAAATGGTGATAAATTTTCTCCTTGTCTTACCCCTATTCTGCATGGAAAATATTTAGTAACCATATCATACACAGCTATTCTAGATTAACTTTCAAAGTACTTTGAAAAAAAAAATCATTATCACATTATTTTCTAGCAATACCAATTTGAATGAGTTTTTGCCATTATCCTAATCTTCATACATTGTTAAATGCAGCTTTAAAATATTCTTTTTCAGCAAATGGATTTATTAATGATTGTAAGATGAAAATAATCAAAATATCATCTATGGTATACACTGTATTTCAAGTAAAACTTCCCTCGATTTTCGTTTTGTACATGTATATCATATTCTTCAGAATGTTTTTAAGTTGTTTAGCGTGGATAAATGTAAACAATTTACCCATGCAGCTTAAAAGTTAACATATCTACATTTAATAAAAGCAAAACCTTTTTAATACTGATATACATCAAACTTAACTAAAGTGTGTTACTGTGTTGGAACTTATTTGGGGGGGGGGGTGCATACAAGTCCCCCATTTAATTAGCCCCGTTTCAATTTGCTTCTGACGCCTTTGCTTTTAGCATTTACACCACTTAATTAAAAAGTTTAATTATACCGGTATATGTATTGTATTGTGTAGGGTATTATGTTTATAATATGGAGTTCATGTAGTTTTACAACATTTCAACACAAGCTACCTTTACACAAAAAAAATCTCGTATAATATTCTAATTATAAGATGTACCAATAACAAAAATATCCTACCTGTACTAGCTGTATTTGCTCATGCAGGTAAAATATGAATAAGATACACAGACATAAGAGCTGCCCCATTTTCGCTGTATTTAAGGATTATTATGTACATGTGAGTACATTGTATCCTGTCACATGCATACATAATAAACAGGTCGGAGAGAATACTCGAAATCGGGTATTATCCGTGAAATCGCGTATAATACGCGATATTAGGGTATCGTTGAATCCGCGAAATCGGGTATAGGAGGTGTAAACACCTAATAAAACTTAAAGAATGGGATGGCGCATGTTGCCGAGTTAACTTTCATCTAGATACACATGTTTTCTAAAGAAATCACTAGCGAAGTAAGAATTTGGGCTTCAAGATTAATGCGCTCGGGACAACAAATACCCGTGGAGCTCAGTACATTTCATGATCTGCACACAAAAAGGCGTTCGATTTGCTTTATATTTTACCTTATGTTGAAAGTATATGCATCTTCCTAAGGTTCATTCCCAACACAAAAGAATTGTAAAGTATCATAATTCGGGAATTTATAATAATTCCACATCAACACGACAAACATGAACAATTTGTAAATAAATCAAATTATACGGAAACACATTTCACACACCAGATATGATGCCATGTATAAACAAGAGATTGTCTATTCTATCTAATTATGCGTCATTAATTACTTTCACATTCATCTTGTGCATAAAATCAAATTTATTTTTGAATGTATAAATAATGTAATGATAAAAATGTCTAAAATTTCGGCTAAAAGAACCCTCTTTCTCTTTTTTTGAAAATCTTTTCTTTTTTATTTATCATTCAAACATATTTGCAGAATATGTCTTTAACATTTAAGCAGAGACAGTGATAGTTTCAGGAATACAGTTTATGAGAGAGCATAACTGTTGATCGTTTAATTTCGCTAAGTCATCAATATTTTACCATTTCCTGGCGACTTCAAAAGGGGGGGGGGTGGGGGCCTAAAGGCTTCTTGACCACCGGCCTCTGACAAAACAACCTCGACTATGTTATACATGTGTCTAAGAGACCTCTCTTTGAATGTCACGGTCGGTTAAACTCGGTCATATATTTTTAATCGTAAGGAAGATTGGGGGGGGGGGGTAGGTTCGAACTTTAGTACCTAAATTTTTCTCCAAACACCAAAACTTTACCCATTTTTAGCCTATACGGCGAGGTGTCTGTGGAAAGTGGGGGGGGGGGGCTTTACCTATGTTACAAGGTTCAATGTATATACTAAGTACATACTGGGAAAAAAGTGGGGGGGGGGGGCTAAGCCCCCCCCCCCCCTCCCCCGGTTCCGACGCCTATAATAAAGAAAGGAAATGGCTACGATTTTTATGAAATTTTAATGTCCGATGAGGAATTATATTCCCAAAAAGTAAGACAAGAGTTTCCAAGGCAATTGAACACTCCATTATTTCAGATTGTTCATTAACATGTTCATAAACGTAAAAACTATAAGAAATGTGAAAACTTGACTATGTTATTCATATATCAATATGACTGTACCTCGATCTATATTGAGAAATTCAATGTATTTTAACTTCATGAAAAGATACCCCCCCCCTTTCAAAAAAAAAAAACGAAAATCCTGTTCATATGACTTCTCGCTCTCAATTTTCACAAAATGCATAAAATAAAGGTAAAATAGTATATCTTTTATCGATTAAAATGCAACCAAAAAATTTACGGTGTCTTTGAATTAAACATTTCATGCTAAATTGACATAAAAAGAGATACTCCGCTTCAATTAGCTATTTTCAAACTGTTTTCCCGTGGGCATTTATTTCATCTTATTTTATTTTCTTCTTTATAATAACGTTGGTATTCTATAATGGCAGAGATATACAATTATGACTCGCTTATTTTGTACTCTCTAACTGTTAGGAGTAATTTATATTTCACGAGAAAGGGACGCCATACATTTTTCAGTAAAAATACATAACACGGCGTTAGTCGTTTAATTTCTTTAAAATTTCACGTTTTGTGAATAGTGCACAAATTGGAAAATTAAGTATATGGAATACTTTAATGGGAAATAAAGACAAACGAAGTGTAGTTATTTGTTTTTAGAAATTATATTGAAAAATAATAACGCCGTTGTGTCCTCTTTGTTACCCCAGCAGTGTTTGTTGTGTGATTTTAAAGTTATTTGAGAACCTTATGAATTAGGTTTAATAAAAATAAATCCACAAGATACTGATGTACAAGTAACAGTTACTGGCATAATGCGCCGTTGCTTTATTCTTTAGTTTTTATAGAAAGTTGCACGGAATACCCGATTTCGGGGATTCAACGATACCCTAATATCAAGTATTATACGCGATTTCACGGATAATACCCGATTTCGAGTATTCTCTCCGACCTGATAAAGGCCCTTTTTATAAGTCAGCTGGGAGCTACTGCATTCTACAAATAAGGACCGACTGTGTCTATATATTTATTAAAAAGATTATAAACAGTGATCGATCTGTAAAAATATCTACATTGTATAAAAATATACTGTATATCTATAAAGAATACAAATCGGTGAACATGAATCTTATTTTGGTGAACATGCGCATTAATTTGAAAATGATTTAAAAACAGTGACTGGAATAAAGCACTCAAAACATTAAACTGTGAAATGAAACATATAATAAAAGTATGAGGAATTCACATGTATTCTTATAAAAATAAAAATTTGATTTTAAAGTCTTGGTTTTAATAACTTTTAACCCTGTTGAATTTGATACATGTATATATCTGTCACCGCTTTACCATTTACACAAGTATCATATAAAGTGATAGTTTTATTCACAAAAATGCATTGACCAAATTAATTTATAAATTATTTAAGCCATTATTGAACTTAATAATAAATAGTTGCCGAGTTCTGCAGATTCTAGATCTGTCTATAAGAAATTCTGTAAAAATACAATCTTTTACACTTTATGATGCCATAAAGTCCAGCTCCAAACATCAAGCATCCAACTAGTATTATCGCCCAAAACCCTGGGAAAAAAATATAGTCATGGTAATGAAAAATATAACTGCAGAAACTAAGAAATACACATATGAACCTGTAATTGCTAAAGTATTTTCACATTTAGTTTGCATGAATATTTTTTGAAGTTTGGTGAATAATTATTTATTAACCAATGTGCATAATGATTTAGATTAATTCTTTTTATGGTAATATATACAGATGTTTAGCAATAACTGCTTTCTGTTAAATTTAGATCCATGGTTTCTGTCCCATTGTACCGATTTTTCCTAGATGTATCTTACGTCTTCATTGATGTCCTTTTTTGTTATAAAACTGTTACTAAAATAAACCTTCAACAATGGGTTTTAAACCACGTGTTTATACTCACACCACTGTTCATATGTACGGTAAGAAGAATATTGCTTGCAGCACCCTCTTCCATAATCACAGCAGTAAAAATCTGAAAAATAAAATTATAATTTCTCTGAACAGAGGACAGACATATTTAGCACTGTAAATAGATAACGATATATGTGTCCCATCAAAAAGTACACAAAAATAGGTGCATAATGACAGTATGAAACAAAGATTCTGTGAAAGTCTCTGTGAAAGTCTCATTTAATTTCATTCTTATTGAAGGGTACCCATCTCTTACCCTTAACTCCTCCTACACCACTGAATAAAATTTAATGATACTTTCACAGATTCTTTATCACACTGATGCCTCTATGCACCCCTTATATTGCTTTTTGATCTGACACTTATTTCAGGTCTCCCAGAGCAAAACATGGACTTTGCCACTATAATCATACTGGAGGCGGGGAGGGGACTTTTAGTGTGCTCAGTGTTCACATAACCTCTAGAAATCAGACATCCCGATCACTAAAATAACCCCCCCACTTTTCAAGCGTGGGGAGAGGTTAATATAACAAGTCCCTTTAGAGAAATTTGAATCACAATACTCACCCTCGGGACAGACTACATGCTTACACTTGTTGTTTCCCTACAAATGTTTCAGAATGAGGTAAAACAGGTTATAAAACATATACACTGTAGTAAAAATCACTCTCAACAAAGGTGTATAAGTCAAATGTCTTCTTTTTTTCAAAGTTTGTACAGAGAAAAAACGAAAAAGAGATGAATGCGAATTCCTGTAAGACATATGTATTGTACACAATTTAATGAGGATCAGTCGACGTTTTCAAAAAAAAAAAAAAAAAAAAAAAAAATCGTTATTTGACTTAAACCTTCATAATTCTTTTAAAAAAGAAATACATGTATATGAATAAATAAAATTTCCTATTTTCGAATTTATTACTCTTAAAAACATATCTTTTAAAAAAGAATCTTAAAGTTTATTTGTATTTTAAATACGCTGATTATATTAAGCTCATGATTATTTTCAGAATAATTTTCAGAACTTTTAAAACAAGCCAATAAATTGTATCTTATCCAAACAAAACTGAAACAATTTTTTCCGTGTCTGATAAGAGTTTTAATTTTAACTGAAAATGACTTTATTTTTAAATGTTAACATTTTCTAAACTTTTTTCTTACCTCAGATAAGATTATAGCTGTACAAAAGGTAATGAAAACAGGAATAAATATTCGATCATCCATTCTTCAGTTCACATTAACATGATGGTTTTCAATCTCTTGTAAATTAACACATAACGATGACATAACTCTTCATATAAACCAGGAAATTATAAATTTCGGGGGAAAACATTTAATCAATATATAAATAGAAGGACAAGCACTTGCCTGGTATTTTTATTTTCATTTCCTTTAAGTATTTCAAATTGTTCGTCACAGGGATAGATATACATCAAATAAGAATGCTAAAAACAGGTGAAAGTCCTATCTGACTGAGGAAATTCCATCTTTATCCCTGATATACATGTACGCCAAAGAACATACACGCGATTTTTAAAATTTATTTTCCACCCGGATAAATTTCGGGGCATTTTAACACCAGGAAAGTGGGATGGGTACGCATGATTATTATTTTTGATCCGTGTACAAAATATATCTTCATGTCAAATCAAAGTGCAAAAAAGCCTAACCTTTTTTTCTGCCAAAAATTTCACACGAAATTCTCGATAAACACGTTGCATTCTTTCCGTAAAACTTATTAATAGTAGTGACTTCTGCTTCAATACACTCACATATTTTTTATGTTACTATTCAACAACCGATGACACCGTATACAACGGGTAACGCGAGGGAGTTGCTAAAAAGTATGGGGGAGTAATTATTGCTATCTTCCGTGGCCATGGGATATTTGTTTTTTGAAAATACTTCTTAACAAGAGGCCCACGGGCCTTATAGGTCACCTGAGTATCATGTAACAACTTTCCAGCGATTGTATTTGGTTCGTGTTTTAATCCAAAAGCCATGAAATTCACAAATTTTGAAAGAGGCACCATTGTTTATCAAAGGGCAGATTTCAAAGCATTAATTTATTTTTAGTCAAAGTACCCCCCTGGTACCACTGACCGTGCGGCCCTGAAATTATCTATTTTGAAAGAGGCCCCTTTCTTCATTATAAGGCCAGCATTTTTTTTTATGTTTAGGTTTAGTTATGAACATGAGAATAAAAAAGTCCCGAAGGAGAAGGAAATAAAAAAAAATTTGATAAATCAATTATTAACATTTGTACATTCTTTTTTTTATGCTATTCTAATAGGCTCCTTACCACTGGACACATAACGCTTACGAATAGGAAAGTAGAACATTTAATTGCTTATTTCATCATCTGCCAGTTTAGGCCAGTTATATAAATTTTGTGATGTTGGTCAAAATATATTTTAAAAAATCAATTCTTTAAAAGTCTTTTAATATATCTTCATTTTTTAAATATGTGTTAGGTGAATGTGTAGACATTGTTCTAAAATTTTGATACCTAAAATTATAATTCCTATCATAAAACAGACAGGGAGTATTGGGGAGTAGGGTGAACATTTTTTCAATTAAGTGTAAAATAATTTTTCTGGCTGATACAAATGATACTACATGCCTGTATATATCTGTATATTCTTGCCTTTTAATAGTTGAATTTTTTTTTTATTTCTTCAGGTTATTGTTTATTTCTTCCTCAAATGGACTTAACTTCTCCCATAGTTTTATTCATTACATCTGATGCATAAGCAACCCTTTTCTGAAGAATGATGCTTAGACTGTAAGCTATAACAGAGACCTAAACAATGTCGCTGGCAATATGCAATAGCTACCACGGGCAGTTTAAAACCTGGGGGAGGAAAATAATTTACAGACAGATACTTTTGAAACGAATACATAATTATCTCACCAGTATGTCATTGTGCAACAAAGTCGTCAGCATTTTATTTGTCCTTTGAACGGGTGAAACGTTTTAAATGGCACTCGTATCGATGAATTTTACACTAAACCAAGCTATCTTCTCAGATCTAGCTTTATTTACCCGCCGTTTCATCTTAAAACCGGAAGTGTGAGTTCGTAAATTTGAAATCTCGATCCCGACTCAAATTTGACATCGGAAAGAAAAAAATTATTTTATTTTTTCTGAAAATTCAAAACCTTGAGCGGAGGGTTTGTAAAACTGAAAAAAAAAATAAATCCTGGCCTTAAATATGTAATTAGATCATTAGCATATTTACCAGGAGCAAAGGATAAGATGTTCAAAGAATTCATGCATTTCACTATATAATCATTAGAGCCCCACCCTAAAACAAGAACCCCTGACCCTGGGGCCATAAAATTCACAATTTTGGTAGAGGCTTTCTTGCTCATCATAACTATGTACTTAGTTAGTTTATTTAATACCCAGGAGCAGAGAAGAAGATTTTCAAAGAATTCATGTATTTTTACTATATATTAATCAATAGAGCCCCGCCCTAACACCAGAACCCCTGACCCTGGGGTCATAAAATTCACAATTTTGGTAGAGGCACTCTTGCTCATCATAACTATGTACTTAGTTGGTTTATTTAATACCCAGGAGCAGAGAAGAAGATTTTCAGAGAAATAATGCATTTTCACTACCTACTTATTTAGCCCCGCCCTAGCACTAGAACCCCTGACCCCAGGGCCATGAATTTCACAATTTTGGTAGAAGACTCATTGCTGATTACAATCATGCAAACAATTTGCCTGCTTGATGTCCAGGAGTAAAGAAGAAGATTTTTAAAGATTGAATTGATTTTAAGGGTTTTGGCCTCACCCCTCAGGCCCCAGGGGGACAGGGATCATGAAATTCACAATTTTTGTTCCCCTTCACCCATAGATGCTTTACGCCAAATTTGGTTGAAATTGGTTCAGTGGTTGCAGAGAAGAAGCTGAAAATGTTCAAATGTTAACACACGACGCACGACGACGGACGAAAACAGATAGCAATAGGTCACCTGAGTGACTCAGGTGACCTAAAAATACCGAAAAAGTCGTGACCTACATATCGCTTCTGACTCCGAAGCGGTGAAAATCTAGTACCCCCTCATACGATGAAAACGACCCCGCGTTACCTGTTTGTATACAGTGGGTGAGACTAAGGGAAACTGCGAGAAAAGACGGAGAAACATAAATTACTTACTTATTTAGTTAAAGAAAAATTGGAAAATCTCAAAACAAGTATACTAGAATCTACAGAAGGATTGGAATTTTCCAGTTTATCATAGAGCATACTTTTCTTGTTCATCACAATATAACGTTTGGTCAACAAGAATAAATGTATTTTTACATTTATGAAGAAAACGAGCAAAATTTATCTCTATGAGTTTATGGGCGCATGTGAACGGAACTCTTAGACAAAAAGTACACTGTGGACCTCTGGGGAAGAGAGACTAGACGGTCTAATATAATTGTAAATGTGCATGCTTCATAAGGTTTTATACATAAAACAATATACCCAGAGACACGTTTCTATTTGCACACCGGTTTATTTAAATATTTTTTATGAATAACACATTTTGCACAACCAAATCCAAACAGTCTTTCTGGCATATACGTTCCAGTTAAGGAAGCTGTTTTGCTTGATAAATTGAAGCAAATCACGTCATTAAATACTTCAGACGACTTGATACCTCCATATATATTAACTGAATCACCCTGGAGTACTGATCCAAAACTGTATCGCTCAAATCCTGGAATGCATCCGACATCCTCAACTGCTCCATCATCGAATGACAATATTTTCCCATCAGGACATATTATGACAACTTTTCTTTGATATCCAAAAGCAGACGATAAACGACAAAAAACTGGGAGTTGGGAAACGACACTGCACGTATTTCTGCGAGTATCGAAGCATTGGACGATCTTCGTGTCAAAGTTTTCTCCTGTTACTCCACCGAATAAGAATATTTTTTCACGGTCTACAGCAGAAGAAGCCGATCGAACTGGTGTACTGAGATATCCACAATCTTCCCATTCACCGGTAGAAAGCTTAAATTTCTCTATAGCTAATATCGTTTGAAACTCTTCTTCATTTGTATCATCAAAACCTCCCAAAACGTAAACAGAATCCCCAACAGCTTCCATGGAATGACGTCTTCTTCCTAGCAACATCGACTGGCACCGTGTCCACATGTTTTGATTACTGTGATAGCATAGCATTCCTTTAAGATTTGAGCTTCCACCAGACGCAAATATCGCATTTCCATAAGAACAAGTCGCATATTCAACACCCGGATCGTAAGGTAATGGTTCTAGATAGTTCCAGTTCTTGTTATTTCGGCAACACATCACTGTTCTCCTCGTCTGCTCTCTTTCATTACTTCCGCCAATGCAGACGACGACCTCCTCAAAATCCCCTAAATTTCTATAAACCAGCCTTGGAGATATAAACTCTTGCCTCCTTGCAGGCAGAAGATGATATCGCTTTGCTTCATCCAAAATTTCTCTGCATTCTGTCTCATTTTGAATTAAAGGGTTTTGTTCAACAACTTCAAGTAGGTATTCTGGTTGCAAAAGCGGAAGTCTCAGATGTTCGAACAAGGTTTTGATGTGCTGTTTTCGATTATCAATGTCAGCATGTATCCAGTCAAATACTGTTTCAATCACGATCTCCTCATCTTTCACATTAAGATCATTGTCACTTATAATACTGATAACTTCAAACACATCCAGAGCTCTAAAATCCTCAGTCTGGCAGACCTCAGTGAAGTAATGCAGAATGAATCGAAAGGATTTCTGAGTCAAGTAATGGCACCCGTGACCTTGAGCAAGCTTCCACGTGCCAATACAGTTCTCTGTGTCAACTTTCGATATCATAAACTCTTCACAACGTTCTTTAAGACATTTTATCTGCATCATAACGGAAGTTTGCAACACATCGCCTACATTCTCTTCGTTTAAGGCGAGTGTTCCACTGTAAATAAACTGAAGTATTATATCAAATGTAGAGCTTGGAACATTCTTAATATTGACTTTATGATTTTGGGATTCTATCATCCCCGATGAAAACATGGCATCGAAGTAGGGCGACATGGCGGCCAAGACAAGTCGATGACAGTGGAAAGTCCTGTTTTCAACTTCGATCTCTACATCAGTGTACTGAGAGGACTCGTACAACTGCTGCAGACCAGAAATCATTGCTGTGGTGTAGTCAGCCTGAAGGTCTTCTGATTCTGTCTTTCCCATGATGTCTGAAATGAAAAAAAGTGCTCTTCTGAGATTAGAATTTAAATTACAACTAAAATTTAGATATACATGCTTCATCTCTTTGTGGGGTTAGTTATCTCTGTACACCTACAACTAAACAATAACTAATGGCCAGGTACCATTATATATAACTTAACATTTGGATCTTTACTTTAGATTTATTTCATTAAGTTAATTGGCTTTCTAGCGTATTTATCAAGAATTTGTTTGAACAAAGTCAACGGAATTACCAAGCTATTGGTTATAATTGGTTTAAGAATAATTACTGTTTGCGTACTATAGTGGCATATTTCTGCCTCCAGCATGCAAATTATGCTAAATGAAATGAAACTATGTTATCATGCAAAATATTATGTCTACATGCCAGAAAAGTATTCAACATGCAAAATAAATATGTCTATATGCAAGGTTCTTGTATTGACATGCAAATTTTCAATCTTTTATGCCCATTCTCGCAAGATAGATTATGTCAAAAAAGTATGTCAACATACAAGAAAAGTGTGTCGACATGCCAAATAAATCTACTAAAATGCTAGATATACCATTTTTTGAAAATCTTAACTCAATATGAGTTACATACTTACTTTTGCTAGTATGTGACATCAAACCCCAAAGTTCAATTTAAATATTTTGACAGGGGTACTTGGATATTTGTGTCACCATGCAACAATATTATGTAGAAATATGATTTATGTCAACATGCAATATTATTATAAAGGCATGTGAGTTAACTATGTCAACATTTGACATAGAAATCATGACATAATTAAATCGCATATCAAGATAATCATCATTGTTATGTATGACTTTAGAATACGTTATAACCATAACAATCTCGCATTTTGACATAAATAAGGCGCATTTCTACAGTATTATTATTATTTTAAATGATGACATAAATAATTCGGATACCAACATGTTGCTAAATTTTCAATGTACATGTAGATGATGTCGACTCATGTAGCATAGATCTTCAATGCCATATAGTACTAAGTAAATGTACCAACAATCAAATCATGCATGCAGATTCTCTAAAATTATTCGTAGCTTATATATTAATATAAGGTGACATGATTATCTAGTATGCATATAGACATAATTATCTTGCATGTTGACATACTTAAACATGCATGTAGGGGCAGAAATATGCTATCATAGATTACTTGTCTCATCCTCAAAACCAAGAGTAGCTACAAGTCCATTCATCGATTTTGTTTACATTCAGTAGTACAATTTGATTTAAAAATATTCAGTATACACATTTAAAAAGCAAATATCAGAAATGCCGAGTTAAACACATGTTAAATGAACATGCGTTATATTTATGCTACGATAATCGATGAAATCATCATAGGAAGTGCCCTCGTGTTTCTTATAAATCACTGTTTAATGTATATACGTACAACACACTGATTAGCATTCAATGTAAACAATCGGTAACATAAAAGGTAAATTGATATCTTGACTACAACATTTTATCTTACTTACCTTTCTCCGTGCAATATACATTTAACTTTTTCAACATGTTTGGTCAGGATTCAAAGAAAGATAACCCCATTATACTAACCACGTTCATACAAACCCTATATACGGAGCAGCTTTAATAAGAAAAATTATCTTTACGAAGACTTTTAAAAGTGATGTTTTACTTAGTCCTACAAAGAAAAAAAATCATAATTTTAAAATAATAGTTTTAAAATAATAGGTATTTAACCATTATGCATCATAAAAATTATGGTAAAAAAATTTACCTCCTACCTCCATGTAGAGAATCAGCAAAGGTTAAACCATGATAAACTCCATCTTAAAAATTTGTTTGTTTGCCCTCTCCCGATCGACTAGTTCAAAATTGCACAACTAAAACTCTTTCAAAATTTCTAGGAAACAATTTTTTTCATTCATTCTAGAATTTCCCATCACGTCGATAATTATTTTAATAATACCTTCAACTTTATTAATTTAATTTTGAAAATTCAACTTTGACTTTGCAAATTTCTAGGAGGAAAATTCCAAACTACCTAAAGACCCTCTCTTTTTACCCTGAATGGCAAAGCAACATTAGTCTGAGGGTGGCTATGTTTTAAGTTTTTTTTAACAATTAAATTTAATACTTCCACCTACATACAATCTATAAGTTGATAAAATAAATACAAAATATCTTCATAAAATTTTCAGAACCTTTATTCTAAAACAAACCGTTTACATGTTTACTTAAGCACTGATATTAAAAATTTCTTGCTAATATTTGTAATGACCGCAAAATATTGGTTTGAATCAGGTGGAAATGGGATCTGCTTAATGTCACAAAGTAAACGTTTGTTTTCTGAGATTCCATACTGAATGACCTTACTTTCTCCTTGAGCAGTCTTTGTATCACTGACCAGTAAGATGCTGTCTTTATAGTAGACAACAGAATATCCAGTCATCATCAGCCGCTTCTGAATAGTTCCTAAGTATCTAGGCTCCGGGGCACAAGGATATGTTCTATCAGACTGTAAAACTTTTCCTTCCGCAGTCACGTGATAAAAGTAGTCCTCACACCAACAAATCCTCATTATCCCAGTAAGAACTCCTTTTGGAAATGTGCTAACCTGGGTGCAATTTTTGGTTTTTATATCGTAGTACTGAATGGCATGGGTAAAACTAAAAGCACTCTGTGAACCCCCGAAAACAAAAATCCTCGACTCCACACAAGCACAAGAAGCATCTGAAACTGGAGTGAGTAGGGTCCCCTCTTCTGACCATATATTTTCATCTAAACGGTATTTCTCAATGGAGTTAAAACTATCATGAGACATTCTTTTCCCACCAATTACAAATATGCCCATTTCAGTTCCACACATACAATGACCAAACCGCCCCCGTTTCATTCCTGGTAATTTATGCCATTCATTTTTGTAGCAATCGTACCTGATAAAATTTTTGAGATTTCCAGACCCCCCTGATATAAATACATTCTTCTCGTGAAAACACACTCCTGGGCTTGATCCTGCTTTGTATTTGATTATCTTGTTCAAGGAAAACCAACTATTTTGCCCAAAACTGTAACACACAATGTCAACATCATCTGAAAAAGTATTAGGTCTCACAACAAGTAATACTTCATCATTTCTGAATTTACCCGACTTCGCATTACCTCTTTCTGCATCCAGTAGCTTCTGTTTGCACAAGGGATACTGTTGCAAGTATTTATTTGTTTCACAGATGTGCTGGAGATTTTCGAGTTTAATTTGAGGACATTCAATGTGCTCCAATAGAGTTAGAAGCGCCTCTTCATCTTTACTCTCCTGACCATCAAACCACTGAAGAATTATATCTAAAACAGAACTTTCCTCAGAAACTAGTAAGTCGTCGCTCGATACTAATACCACCAGTGTTTCGTAGTTAAGTTTTGTAAAAGATGAATTTCGAAATAATTTCATGATGGTTTTCTTCATGAAGTTAATGACATCGTTTATAAGAATTTCACAACTGCATGACTTTGCCAAGCTTAGTAGATCAATGCAATTATCTGGATCTATATGAGAAGCGAGAAATCGCTCACATAATCTCTGTAGTGGTTTTACTTGGAAGTAAACGGATGCTGTGAGTATCAAATCCGCGTTATTATTGTCAATAGCGCAGTCTCCTGTGTAAATATACCCTATTACCTTTCCAACAGTTTTCTTATCAAATCCATGCAATTCAATGGCATTTTTTCCAGTTTCTTTCATGCCAGACATAAACATGGCATCAAAGTACGGAGACATGGCCGCCAAAACGGCTTTATGACATCTGAATTCCTTTCCACTAACATGCAAGACTACATCTGTAAATTTTTCTTTATGCCAAAATTCTATCATTTGTTTTGAAAATACTTGTAGCCTTTCCCGCTGAATATCTTTCCAAGTTGTCACTTTTTTGGATTTAATAAGAATTTCTATGCCAAGTTCTTCTGCAGGTTTTGCTATTTTCAGTAAAAATTCAATGACATCGACTTTTGTGTCGTCATATGACGGTTTATAGAGCTTCTCAATTAGATTATCTGCATTTGCCTTGGTGTTCAGTTCAGTACAATGCGATCCCAAACAAACGTCATACACCCTTTGCGAAAAGATGGCCAGAACGACTTTATGACAATTGGTCTTGATCTCCGCGCAGATCAGTGAGAAATCTACGTGTCTTTCCTCCTCTCTGAGACGGGACAATTCTTTGATTAGAAGCTGGCTGTGTTGTGCATTCATCTACAAGATATTGTTTATAAAAGTTAAATTCCTACAATTCAGGGACCAGTTCCACAAATTTAAGACCTGTCTTCAGGTCCGGCGAAACTTATCGCAAGATGTAGATACCTGTCTAAAGTGAACATGACGCCAGGCGACAGTACTAGTATACAATGTATGTTTTAGCTCAAAATCGGAGGATATTTATAAGAAAGCATGCAGTATTCGAATAATACTTTTACATTTCAGGGCTGTATACTACAAACTCAGCTGTAGTCCCATCCCCATCAACCACTTATTTTGTTAATAAAACTCCACTACACTATGGAAAACAAAAATCATACATATACGAGGGTTGATCCAAAAGTAATGTCACAGCTTTGATAAAATTGCTATAAATTGACGTAAAGCAACGAAATTTTACATGATGGAAGCTTTATTTATTTCAAATCAGACCTGAAAAATTCAAAGGAATATGATGTATACTTTCAAAAATATCGGATTTAAAACAGTGTGCGTTTATGGTAGTCGCCGCACCTAAATATAACGTCATATGACGGATATGCACCGTCATACTTTTAAGCGTTTCCCCCTTCGTTTCATTAAAAAATATTTGTGATTCACACTTTCACCAATTCCACTTTCTTTCAGAATTTTTGGTACCATTATACACTCACTCTTTTCATAATGAAGCCCCCTGACAAAGGAGCATAAGACAAACTTAAAAATTCACATGTCACTCTATACGTCTGTCTTTTTTGACAACGTCAGACACCATTGAAGGTTTCCGTCCGATCTCCTACATGTATATTTCGGTATTCTTGTCCTCTGCTGATCAAACAGTGACCAATCACCAGCCCAAAATTGCTGAAACCATCTATTAAGATGTCTCTTATTTACATTCTTTATTCTGTAAGTCTGATTAATTAACGTAACTGTCTCTTGTGATGATTCCCATATTTTGAAGCAAAAGTGCATTACAACTCCTTGAGACGTTTTTTTTTTCCATTTCGACAATCCCTTTGATCAATTCAACAGAGTAAAACAACAATGTTTATGATCAATACCGATACCGTCATTTAATTTTCAAGTACAGACTAGAAAATGACAAAAATTGTGTTTTTAAGAAAATGGGAGGTTAGGTGCATTTTTCTGAATCTGAATCTTTTAATGTGTTTGTCTTTTTCATGCTAAGAAAAAGTGCACTTCAAAACGTGACGTTCCGTTGCACGACGCGGCGACACCCCCTATACTCTCTGTTTTACACATCTATAAAATAAATCCTAGTAAACATTGTTAAATTAAAATTTTAGTGTTAATTAGATTTATATTTGTGCATCATTTGGTATATTCTATTTGATAATATGACCCCAAATATAAAAGATATGGACACTGTGACATTACTTTTGGATCAACCCTCGTACATACTTTATTTGTTCTGACCCTTTATTCATTGCTCTTAAACCAGTGACAACATATCTTTTTCCTCTAAATCCGTATTCTAAAGTGCATTTTGTCTAATCAAGAACAAAAATGTAAGGCTTTTATCTTCTTAAAATTTTAAACATTAAGATTATAGAAATTTAGACCATTATAAGATTTGACTATTTAATATTATCTTCGGCTTCATTGAATAGACCTTAGTATCTTCTGTCCCTTCATACGTACGAGTTAATTAAAACGGTTGGCTTCCCAACCCTTATTGTTATTCTTTATATTTATCTGATAGCGATTGTGTAAAATATCAAAAAGCTGATTTACCTTCACTGCATAATTCTCTACAATTTTTAGAACAAAAAATATCCACCTACCTTTGAAAAAAATTCGATTTAGATCATTTGTAACGGGAGACGTCGATACCTGGTAAACATGATTTCACTTTTCAGATCAGTGTCATGGTCATACTTGAGTAAATTCTGGCGGGAAATTCAAAAACAAAATCTTTGTTTCAGAAACAACATTAAAAAACAACAGCTATTATATCTAATACCTGGTATTCGTTAAATGCCTCAGCATGCTCCTTAATAAATTCTAGGGGAATCCCACTCCCAAAGTTGTTATTATTGCAAGTATAAGAGAGATGTTAACGATATATAGAAAGTTTTTTATTGTATAAACGAAACTTACCAGGGTTCGTCATCAATTTTATCAACTTTACACAATCATCCTGACCCTATATTGAAAGGAAAACGACATCTGCACAAATTTACTAATATTTAGTGTGAAATAATTCGGGGGTATATATAGTTCTTATCCTGTCCGTATGTCTGTCTGCAAAAACTTTATCCTTCCCCAAAACTTCTGATTGGTTGGGGCTATTACTTTCCTACTTCGCAGGTTTTATGGACACTGTGACATTACTTTTGGATCAACCCTCGTACATACTTTATTTGTTCTGACCCTTTATTCATTGCTCTTAAACCAGTGACAACATATCTTTTTCCTCTAAATCCGTATTCTAAATTGCATTTTGTCTAATCAAGAACAAAAATGTAAGGCTTTTATCTTCTTAAAATTTTAAACATATATTATAGAAATTTAGACCATTATAAGATTTGACTATTTAATATTATCTTCGGCTTCATTGAATAGACCTTAGTATCTTCTGTCCCTTCATACGTACGAGTTAATTAAAACGGTTGGCTTCCCAACCCTTATTGTTATTCTTTATATTTATCTGATAGCGATTGTGTAAAATATCAAAAAGCTGATTTACCTTCACTGCTTAATTCTCTACAATTTCTAGAACAAAAAATATCCACCTACCTTTGAAAAAAATTCGATCTAGATCATTTGTAACGGGAGACGTCTATACCCGGTAAACATGTTTTCACTTTTCAGGTCAGTGTCATGGTCATACTTGAGTAAATTGTGGCGGGAAATTCAAAAACAAAATCTTTGTTTCAGAAACAAAATTCAAAAACAACAGCTATTATATATAAATATACCTATATATATATATATATATATATATATATATATATATATATATATATATATATATATATATATTATCCCACTCCCAAAGTTGTTATTATTGCAAATATAACAGAGATGTTAACGATATTTAGAAAGTTTCTTAGTGAATAAACGAAACTTACCAGGGTTCGTCAATTTTATCAACTTTTCACAATCATCCTGACCCTATATTGAAAGGAAAACGACATCTGCACAAATTTACTAACATTTGGTGTGAAATAATTCGGGGGTATATATAGTTCTTGTCCTGTCCGTATGTTTGTCTGCAAAAACTTTATCCTTCCCCAAAACTTCTGATTGGTTGAGGCTATTGCTTTCCTACATCGCAGGTTTATTTCTTGTGATGAAACCTTTCTACGGGTATCACCAAATTTGACCTCATGACCTTAACCTTAGAGTTTGACCCACTTTTACCCCAACCCCCCCAAAAAACAAACTTCTTTAACCTTGGTCATAACTTTTGGTGCTCTCATTCTTCACATGTGTATACATTGTGGCAAGAACTTTCAATAGGTATATATATTGTAACGGGAAACCTATACGTTTCCATAAATCCAGATTCAGTGATTTACAGAGAGAAACACTCAAGTGTATAAAGTTTAACAAAGGTTTATTAAATAGGGTAAATAAATAAGTCACAGTGAAGACTTTACTACAATATTATAAGTCTATGGTGGATACCTACTCGCTGTAATGTCAGTCTAGTACTGTACTCTGGTCGTTACCAACGTCACGGTGGTCAGGCCGTCAACAGACGTACGGGCGTTGTCCAGAACGGCCTGGCACACGCGCAAAGTGGCAACGAACCCGACGTTAAATGTATTACAATAATAATAGCATAATAGTTCACAACACGATATTACAGTTCATATTAATACATGTACATGACTAGATACATTGTAATAAATAACAATGATTTAATAACACATATATAGACATTAAAATCATCCACCGTTACACTATATATATATATATATATATTTTATTTTTTTTTTACTTTGATTTTAGATTTTGACCCACTTTTAATAAAAAACTTTAAACTTGGCCATAACATTTGAACAATTAATACTAGGATTTTCATGTTTCACGAGTGTATTCTTTAGGATAATTAAGATCTACCTTTGGGTACTAACAATTTTGACCTTTTGACAATGACCTTGGGATTTGACATGCATTTGAGAAACTTCAAAATTCGACATAAGCTACCATATGGGGCACCAGTATTTCACAAACAAGTACTATAGCCGACATATATACTTCTCAAACACATTTTTTTTAAAAATTAGTTATCTTAATTACTTTTAGTAAGCTTTCCTCATTAAGATTCATGATACGGAAGTTTGTATATACGCTTTACATACATGTATAGGATTCAGTGCAATTTTCAAATGTACTCCTCGAAATTGCATCTTCTCGGGCCTTTCCTGTAAGCTCCAAAAGCTCAACATTACCCATTGTTACCGGATGTTATTTAACATAAGATGGCGTCACTTCCTATTAATTAAAGTTTTTGGTAGAAAGTGTTGATTGTCCCTTCAGAAGTATATTTTAGCTAAATGTTTCAATTAACTCTAAACTCTACAAATAACTTGAGAGATTTCTTTCACTTCTTCACGTTTCTGAACCGGCATCCATAGACGCCTACGTAACCCATCAAAAAGGACTTAAAGTTGCGATTGTCATTTGGTACTCCTAAATATAAATGTAAAGGTTCTGAATACAAATATTTCATGGGTATAATTGAAATAACGGTATCCTTAAAATTCAAGGTATAGGAATCATTATTAGGTCATACACTAATTAGGCATTGATGTGAATTGTGGTTTCAAAGTACCGAAAGAACCAACGCTCCAAAAATGAAAATGTTACATATCGGTGCTCTAAACAGGTAATTCTAAATATCTGAAACTAAATAAATTATGATCACTAGAACTTAAACAATATACATGTTTATCACAAAAGTGAAAAAAAAAAACGGTGAATCTTTTTCCAAAAAATGCTTATGCTGGTCTTGCGGGTCAAAATGGTCAAAGAAAATAGTGATTTGGCGATATCTCGAATGAGACCAAATGAAATCGAATTGCGCTTTGCATTAGAATTCAATGAGAATTCCAGTAAAAATATTGAAATGTTTATTAAAGTTGTTTTAAGGGAGATAAAGCCCCTCCACGAATTCAGAGTTTGGATTATCTCTCATGACATAGTTTCGTATACATATCGACAGACGGCGTCCGTTATAATCGTTGAACATTATGACTACCTCCTGCTTTGAACCACACACAAATACTAGATTAATTACTGAATATTTGAACATTTAATTACACATTTTCCAGTGTCTTTCTATAATGTTCACAACATTATAAGATTTGTAACATTGTAAATAATTGTGTTTAAAGCTGTTTTACCACACACGTATTACAGCAGACAAAAGGAAAGCATAGGTCCCCTTCACCTAACAATAAATCTTCATCAGATTCTCTCATTTTTTCAACAGAAAGTCCACACGAACCTTCCCGGCAAGTGAAATGACTTTACCCCAGTCGCTTATATTAGGATCTTCTCGTCCGCCTAGACTTCTCCACCACGGTGAACTTTGCGGGGGACTTGTGCCACCTCGAGGACAATGCGGGCTGATAAATCGCCCAGGAATTGCTACTCTTTATCAATGTTTGACAAATATAATTAAGCAATCTTTTATATGGCGAAATATTCTTTTCAGCCGGGATAACTTAATTACAGAGAAGCAAAGCTCAATAAATTTTGTGAAGTTTTAATATCGAGGCCCTTTCACACGAAATTTTATTGCCTTGATCTATGAAGAGTATACATTGTAGGAATAGTAACAATGTATTGATATTAAACTTAGTTTGTGTCCCTTTTGTATTCAAGGATTTTTGAGACAATCAAATACCTTAGAACAATTGAAACAATCCAAAGTCTGTCTAGATTGCAATTTAATATCCCCTCGAAATAATTAATATAATATTTTCGGATAATTGTGACCAGCTGCATAATTTTGCTATGTAATAATGATTTAATATATATTTGAGAAGCTTTGAATGATATTATCACCCCCAGAGTGATTTTTTACGTCAATTCTGACAGATTTAAACAAGAGAGTCATAATATTTACAACAATATTTAGCCCCCCACTAGACGTAATATTCAACATAATAAAAGAAAGAAGCAGTCTATAAAGTACATCCGCTTGTGATATTTCAAAATAAGAGTTTTTGGTGCCAAAATTGATGTAGTTTGGCTATTTTATACTTGGAAATCAAAAATCAACGTATAAAAGTTTCAGACCTTTACTGTCTAAGAGAAATGTATACTTGACCAAAGTACTTAATTGTAATCTATACGGTGGCCTATGGGTATACGTATTTGATACCATTAAGATTTAATGTCAGAGTTTCTTTTCATCACCTATACCGCACCCTTGACTATAAAAAGTCACAATATGATGTAGGATAGATATATTTGTTGTGGTCCGTCTGTCGATGAGCCTAAAATTTTATTATACTGGGATAACCTCACGATCTGAATCTCTGTGATAAAATATACATTAGAAGGAACTAGCGCAGGTCTTTAAGTTCTACACTGCCTGCAAAACCTTTGATAAGGAATCTATGAATCCGTAGATAACAGACCAATAATTTATTAACTTAATTTCGCTAAATAAGGTTTTATCGCTAATTGGACGAGAATTCCAAAACCTTATATAATAGGCGATGAAGTATGCGGTGTACCGATATAATCGGCGTGCATGACAAATTATATTCTCGATATCATACTATTAATCGATGCAAATTTAAAAGGGATGATATTCTTCAACTACTGGTAGCACTTTTGAGGATGCATCTTCGTGAGCCAAGGGGAAGCGAACTGGACCAAAAACCCTTGGCGAGCGAAGGTCTTTTTATGAATTCGTAATTTTTTTTTCATAGAGTTCTCTGTATATACACTGTAACATCAATTCAACACTTTACAGTTCACATTACTTAAATAAAATCCTCGAATGTTTTTTTTCACCAAGACGGTATTCAGAGTTTAAGTTTTTAACAGCCTTCGGACTATACTCTTCCTTTCTGTTGTGACTGGTAGACATTGCATGATGAGAAAGTTTCAATTACAGGGTATTTCATTGGTTGAAATACCGTTGAAGACAAGGAAGATAATTTCTGATGATCTAATTTCCGTACCACTGAACAAATTTGGAAGATTTTCAATCGTAAAAAATATGACAAAACGAACAGTGGAAATTGGCAGTCATTAATTCTAAATAACAGGCTATATTTTTATAGCAACAACTACAAAAAGTTTCTATATTTTCATTGTAAACAGAATTGATCTTTATACATGTACATGCAAGCTTTACAGCTTGTATATATTCTTTTTTCCCTTAATTGTTTGAAAAGTTGACGGAATCAGTCGAGGTTTGTCGAATGCTTTCGTCAGCAGAGTCGAAGTTTAACAGTTTAACAACTGTTTAAGGAGGGCAGTCGAGCCTCTGTTTAACCTATCAGTTTGTAGGGCTTATGCCAGTAAAAACTAATGAAGAAATACAAAGCCAAGATACTCTCAAAAATAATTAATATATGATATGGCAGGTGTAGGCCAGTTTACTATTTAATTTTTGTTGCTGAAGACTGTAAGCTTTTTTAAAAAGCTCTACTTGTAATAATAGATAACCCTTTGAAATTGTGTAAATCAAACTTGTTTTCACCATAGACCTAAAGTAGACCTCTGCTTTAAGTTTCTGTTTCCACCTGCAAAAACCAACACAAATTAAGTCTATAACCTGTCATTAGTTTCATATACAAAGTAAAAAAAAAAGCA